TGCCCCAACAGTCCGTTCAGACTTACACTGGCGATCTTTGTATTCATACATACACATATATTGACGCGCGCATTTAAATGTGGCTATCACACGCAAAATGGCACCGAAAATGTCAACATATCCTGTCCTCTGCACATTTGAACTTCAAGCCAAACTTCCCTCGGCACGCAGCAGGAAATTGCCTTGCATTTGACAGCTGCGTGTAAGTGCACATCTCGCAAGGCATGCCCGTGGCGATGAGGCGTCCGCTAATAATGCCCCACTGACGTCGCATTAAATATTAACATCAAAACAAAAAAACGCAATTGCTAATAACAGGAGATTTACAGCGAGGGCGGTTACGCTCGTTTTGCGAGGTTTTGTCTGCAGTGTCGCGGTTTGTTTTTTTCTTCTCTTCAAAGAATACAGCGGCGAGCTTTGATCAAGCCTCGTTGTGAACCGTCTAATATTGTGGTTACACAACGAATGTCTCCATCAGAGCGGCGATGCAACCTTTGTGTGGAGAAGCGAAAATCCCCGATGGTAGAGGGAAACAAACCCCTCCACATCCTCCTCTCTCTCGTTCGACTCAAATGGCAGCACTCCAATACCAGATGGAATTAATGAAAAACCAAACAATTTGTACACAAATGCTGTACCTATTACCTTGTAGCGTATTCCTTCAGCTATAAGTCATGGGTCGTATGACGTGTTTTTTAAGCTTTAGTTAACAAGAGTAAATAATGTAACTTTAGACCAGGTGCTCCATTAGTGGTATCACTTCATTGACACATTACGCATGTGACTGACGTCAGATGAATCTTTCTGGAGTGTCACGAAGACTTACTTGATCGTAGTTTTATGGATTTTATTATCAAATATAGGAAAGTTCAAACTCATTGTCGTTCTGGGACACACACAACCTAAGTAAATATCTTTAAGAATTATTCGTTTTTTGAGTTGCATCTTCCTTTTTTTACGCATTAGGCGTTAAAAAAATAATCAGCATGAAGCTCTGTCGCACAACCCATTGTTGTGCTGCACTTCTATGCTCCCACGTATATGCTCTCTGCCTACACCAACAGACCAGTGTGGAAGTACTGTATGGTCGATCAGACTCCAAGAGCCGCACGACCCTAATCTAGCAACTCACGAAAACCATAAGTTTATTTTTGAGGAAGATGCGTGCTCTTGGCATCAATGCCATTAAATAAAAAAAATCAATGAATAAATTTCTTAAAGCAGTGCAACCATCTGTGCCAGGGAAAGGCCTCCGAGGAGATTATGCACAGGATCTCTAAAACAAATCCTTCAAGTGGATTTAAACAACCACAACTAATCCTTTACACAGGTCGGGTCCACACTTTCCCAGACACTCTGCTGTGAGATCGATACAGTATTTGTCACGAATCAAACATATCCATATATAAAACAATAACATCAGTGCTATAGTTTAGCGACATTACAGGGGGGGCGGCAACGCAAGTTTAAGCAACAAATTAACGCAATTATATATCTTGTAAACGTATCTCCTTATGCGTTTTTTTTATTTCACTGAAGACAAAAAAACGACAAAACTCATGAAAACAAATCGCGACACGTGGCTTTAGCGTTACCAATACCCAATGTTTTAGCGTACAGCATTTTTCGGACGTGATTGCCAAAGGAATACTTTCAGACGGCGTTTTAACATCTATGAACGTCCCCCCCCCCCCAACGCACCAGCGCGATTAGCGCACGTGCGAGAACGGGCCGTGTTTACATGTTTCCATGCACACACGATTCTTGTAGACAAATCCCAGGGGCAGGCACCCTTGCAAGCAGCATGAGCTTGCCTTACCCACCTTTGTCCATCGCCGATTACGATCGTCGCCGATTATCATTCATAGGTAGGCGATACAATGCGACGTGGATTTACAGAGCGTCTGAATGCGACCCGCGAATCGAGATGCTGATGCACAGCTCAGTGACACCGCGCATAATACATCGCGAATAGTGGCAGGCGTCGGCAGAGGAAAAAGTAAAAAAAAATTAACCCGTAAAAACAAAGTTTTTCACTATAAATCCTTTATATGCGTGGCGGCTAGAGTCCTCTCGTCCTCTGGCTTGAGATGGCTGCCACCTATGGGTCAGATGATTGCCTGCCACCATTAAGAAATTGGTAATTAAATATATATATTTTTTCCTAAAAAGTGTAAAGTTACGGAAAAAATTTTTCACGAAAATAAATTGTCGCGCACAACGAGTCTGTGTGCAAAATGTCAGCTCGATTGGATCACGGGAAGTGGGTTAAAAAACGACCGAAAGATTTGCACGGTCGTAAGCGCGCAAGCAAGCACGCAAGTGAACTTAATATAAAGGATTTAATAAAAGATTTAAAAAGTCTTGAGTCGAGCACTTGAACAGAGGCAGGGATTAGACAGCGCCGATTGCGATGGTGTGGATGCGCGTTCCAGACCACAGGCGCTGTGGAGACGAGAAGAAACGACCTCGCACGCGTGTGACCCCCTTCCGTGGTAGGCGAGGGTTGGTGGATTACACAAATGTTGTGAAACTCCCCTCCTGTTGGGCGTCGAGGTGCCATATACCCTGGCTGGCCAGGAGAGTGCGGTATAGCAACGGTAGACTCCTCCCCACGTGTTCCACCTGTGTGGCGAACCGCTGCGCACGTGTGGGGGCTGCTCCGTGCTCGTCCCACATGAAAAATAGTCACTCATTCATTGGCTGAAAACATCTTAGTATGTGGAGGACCGCGGAGCTTGGGAAATTGTTTGCGCCGGTTCACCACATGGCTGCCACATTCCTGCTTGTGTGCAGTTCCTCTGCCTCACATCTAAGTTACTAATTACCTCTCTTTGAGAGTTGAAATTGAGATTATTATTTTCCATACTTAGCTAAGGCTGACTGGGGTACCCAACACATCTGAATACGATGCAATTCGATTAGCACCATTGGCTACATACGGTGCGAAAGAAATTCAACACACCTACATACAATGGATGTTAAATATTTGAAAAGGCAACAAAGCACACGCGTAGCATTGTGAACGTTTTATTGTCTGTGACCAATGCTAGTTTCAATATGTACACGCTTAACGTGGTGTAATGGATGGCACCAGGGGCGGTTTCTTCATTAGGGCGATTGGGCGACGCACCAATGTCATTGAACCACAGAGTCACGCTCGCCGTCACTGTGCCTCTGGATATAGTCCAATCAGCGTCATGCTACGTTCTGTGGAGTACCGCCTCTTTTTGGGCGATTTCCCTCCAGCTGAGAATCGCCCCGAGTGGCCCCATAGACTTACATTCAAAGATGTTTTTTTTCGAACGGGGGCGCTGCAATGCATTCTCTATGGCTTCCGGGAGGGCTCGCCCTAACGTGCTTACGTCATCATACGTAAGCACGTTTCATCCAACAATATAATTTGTCGCCACCTAGTGGTTTGGTTTAATAGTGAGTATAGAAACAAACAAGATGTATTGTAAGAGTCACTTTATTTTTCATTAATATTAAAGAAGTGAAGTTGCCTTTACATGCTTAAGCTGTTAATTTATCCATTCCATGGGTGGACCTTATCCTTATCAATCATCCAGACATTTGCCCCCCCTGAGAGATTTTGCAGGAGCCGCCACTGGATGGCACACTGGACGATTCGCTCTCCTGGCGCGGCAGTTCAAACAATGGGCAAGTTTATTCAATCCACCCCGCCTCTGTCCGCCAGTCCAATGCAGTATTTATACATGAGTACATCGCAGAAAGCGTGTGGTGGGGTAAAGTGTGGGTACTCTCAGCACTTCCTATGCGTCTGGACATCGTGAATCAGACTCAAATGCCAGCAGTAGGCATCAGCAAGTAATGGTAACTAGGGCTGCACATTTATGATTAAAGTATGAAAATTATTTGTTGTACTGTACTCATCTGCTCTCACATCTATGCACCCCCGCCTTCACCAACTCGCACTATCTAGCGTGGTGAGGATTAAGTGCTGGATACAGCCGCATTTGCAAATGTGATTTTTAACTTTGATCATTACCTGTGTATCGATAGTTCAATGTTAATGTGCCAACAACAATGAATTAATTTAATTTACTGAAGAGACATGCAAACTCCAAATATACCGCAGAATGTCAACAGGGTCGGGATTGAACTCACGTCCTCCTGTATACCAAGCGAGGTAGTTAACATCTCCTAACCACCGTGATGATGATGATGAGAGACATGAAAACTACAAATAAACCGCAGGACGTCAACAGGGTCGGCCACGAACCCACAACCTCTTGTACAGGAGGCGAGGTAGTTAACATCTCCTGGCCAGATGAACAGCTTTCAGCGACCAATATCATCCGTAATACAGGTTTTTTTGGGGGGGGTTAGCTCGCGTAAATATATAAATGTGTCGTTAAACCCGCCGCCACCACCACACAGCCAATTATCCAGCCAATCTCCTGGCCACCGTGGGATGGGAATTCAACGAGGTTGGAACGTGGCCCCGTTCAACTTCCACGATGCCGCTTTGCACGCGGCCGTGCCAGGAACGAGTGACGTCACAGCCGCAAGCCTCGAGGGGGCGGAGGGGGGGGGGACGAAGGGGGTGGGGCGCTCCCCCTTTCTTTTCCAATATCCCAGAGCGTGTAAGCGGCGCCCGCGCGGGTTACGACGCGCGCGATTGGCCGCTGCGAGGGTCGCGCGCTCGCATCGGCCAATCACCGCCGAGGCGGTGGGTTGGGGCCCTCGCGTCCCCGGGTCAATCCGCACTAGAAATTCAAACTGGCTAGCGCGCAAGGAACAACATTACATGGGGGGAGGTGGGGGGGTTGGGGGGGATTGAGGGGTGGGGGTTGGGGGGATTGAGGGGGGGGGGAGTTGGGGGGGGGGGGTTCAGCAATCGATTCGATTCTAAGCTGAAGTAGTGAATCGAGTATCGATTCCTGAGTCGATCAGGGACGCGCGTCGATTCGAAGGACGACGGCGGCGGCCCAAGCGGAGACGTTTCGCGTCAAGGTCCGCGCGTGTCTCTTGTTTGTTTGTTTTCGTTTGTTGTTGTTGTTTGCGTGCACAAAACAACCAATCGCAACCCCGTCGGGACATCGACGTGCCTCGGGCGTTCGATTATCGGCCAATGCCGTCGCCGCCGCGTAATCCGCGACAAGAATCGATCGTGGGCGCGATGCGCGCAACTTCCGAGTTTTGCCGCCCCGTTCCGAAAGACTTTGGTGGTGGTGGTGGTTGTTGATGGTTGTTGTTGTTGGTTGTTGTGGTTGTTCTTGTTGGTGGTGCTGAGGGAAGCTCGGCCTCTGGTTGCTTTCTCAATCGCGAAAACAAACAGCGTCAAGGCGGCCGCCGTAGAAACTCTCTCGCGGTCTCTCGTCGCGGGCGGGCGTGCGTGGGCCGCCCCTAGCCGCCGACTGAAATCCATCGTTGTTGTTGTTTTTGTTGTTGTTTTGTTGTTGTTTCGGTGTTTAATTGTCGGCAGTTCGACTTTGCGAGTTGGGTTCGCGAGCCTGGCTCGGGCCTAGGCGACGACAGTCGCTGGCGGCTTTAAAGTTTTGACGATTTCAAGTCGCTCGCATCTCGTTGTTGGGTTTTTTTTATTCCTCTCTCTCCTCCCCCTCCACACACATCCCTCTACAAACTTTAGCCGTGCAGTCTGCTCGTTTGCATGTTTTAAAAGTGGTGAGAGGGGAGGTTTTGCGGTGGGTGGGAGTCGCTTGTGCGCCAATTATTTTCTCAGTTTTTTTGTTTTCCGTGTTAATTTTCGATTGTCATAGAAGCGTATCGAGGCTATTTATTTAGCGGTCGGCTTTGGCCTTACATTTGGGGGGGTTCGTGCAGCCACCCCCGCACTCCTTCATCCCCTTCATGCAACCGAGTCCGCCCGAAGAAGAGAAGGAAGCATCTGGGATGTTCGCCCCCAACACGGTGAGTGAAGGAGGTTTCTAACGCCGACGTTTCGGAGCCACACATTGTGGATGCTTTCATCGAATTCGTCGTTTTTCCCCGGTCTGAAAGGTTGGCGGCGGGAGCCGCGATGTTGCAATGGTCACACTTTGAACCCTGTTGGCTTCTTTTTAAGTGAAGTTTCCGGCCACGATTGGCATCAGTGGGCGAGTGATATTTCTGGGCCCCCCTACACTTCACCGATCCGAACTGGCCAGACTGGTGAAGTATGGTCACCCCCCCCCCTATCAATGACAAAGTCACGCGGAGATCTTTAACCCATTAGGAGGTTTATATAGGGCTGGACTTATTGTAGGCGAATAAGCGGCTTGCAAAAGTATACGGCCTCTATACAATGCCACGTTATCTCGTTCACGACTCGGACAACACGTTTGCAAATAGTTTTAATATGAATGCAACTTGGACATTTAATCGATAAGAAGGATGTTTTGTTCGAATAGTGTTGATAATTTAATCTAGTCCTAAATGGCATCCCAGTGCAATGTGCCGTTAATACATTAACTTATACATTTGATGGTATGATCTTGAGTGGAGTACAGTATATTGTTTAAGGAAGTACTGTATATTTCCTTTTAACTGCAATTTATTTTCACGAATAATTTTACTCCAATAATGAGCACTTATTTGATCCCATAAAAATGTGTACATCCATTTATTCGTTGATTGCTATCTTAAATGTTGGTCAACCTGTACTGCTTCACCATCATTCACATTGCTGCCATTCGTATAGTAAGTACCGTGTTCCACGCCATTTGCCGCATCGAAGCACTTTGGTGTCGAGCTTAACTTTGCAAACACGTTGATTGTTTAATATTCATATTGATTCTCCGAACTTTAGACAACACTTCAATGTTCCAGTCCGCTGCTAAGGGGCCCAGTTAGGCGCACGCTATTTATGTTTCTCGGCAGCACAAATGTGTCGTAAACTTGATTTAGAATCACATTTTAGCGCTTGTGAATCCCACTCACTGTTGGATGACAGCCTCCCGGCTTGCTGTGGGTTATCTGATCACATTTAAACACGCCGATTTGCCCGGCTTGGTGAAGACTGGGAGCATTGCTGGACGCCGTTGACAGCGGATTAATTGCCTTTGCTGACCAACGTAGTCCGAGCAGCCTATTGACGCCTGTTTAATGTATAGTGATCGCCCATCCAATGAGGCTCAGCTTTCGAGATTGGATAGATTCCTGGTGATTTTTGCATGCCCTGGTGTATGGTAGATGCAATATCACAACTAATTACATCAACGATTGAATGTTTTAAGGTCGAGTCTATTTGTGGTTTTATTTGCAGTTTAGAGTTTCAATGTTGCACTGGATTAAAATTAGTCAATTGTGCAGTTGATTCGAGTCAAGTTTTCCACCGCTGTCCTCTGCCTATTGGGATGCAACAATTCAATTGACATGGATTAATACGGTTGTTACATGTGCGTTTAAAGCTGGCGATTCGCATTTCATACAAGTTATATACGGTATAATAGTCCAACCCGCAGAGCTATCATTTGTGAGGAAAGGTGTTTAAATTGCGACCATGGTCAACTTTACCCCGATCGTCATCCGGTCATGGTCAGTAAACAGCCAGAGCTGGTGGGGAAGCAACTACAGTCAACGTAATTGCCCCATTGATACACCTGCCTCCAGCATAGGAACATCGAATTACAACCACTTGGTTCAGGGCCACTGCAAGAAATGACAGTAACATTGCAATGTTACATGCACTCCACAGTGTTCGTTCGTCTTTGGGACTATTACTGCAACTGAATGCGGGATGATATTAAGCTTGCAGGAGGATGAGACTGGCACATTGTGTGTATGGGATGGTCCGTCCCACTGCCGTTTGTACGTCTGTGAAACGTGATCGCACTTCAGACGTGCTTTGTCACGTGATATGAAAGTGGTTCCCTGTTAATCTTACACCATTTCAGTTTTCACCAGAGCCATTTGTCACGTTCAGTTTTGGTCTCTGGTGTGTGTGTTTTTTTAAGTCTTCAAGCAATAATAATACTTTATGCGTCACGTTTATTTGATTTAAGTGCAACTGATATAAGAAAAACACGACTTTCAGTTGTCAACTGATAGAAAACAGCATGTGCAAAATGACTTGCCTTGCAGATGCTGGACATCTGAGACCTTTGCAGTGATGTTAGGCTTGGGGCCAGTTTATAGCTGGTGTGGAAGGCTTTGAAATTGTATATGACCTTGCAGGTCTTGACACCAACTGAACATTTTAACACCACAATCTACTTTTGTGGACTGATTTCTAATAGTTGTATCACAAGTTTACCTTTGCAGATGTTGGTGGCTAGCTTTTCCACAGATTGCCATTGTTTCTGTCTGCATCGCATTGGCTTATCAAGGGACATAGCAATGGCTAAAAACATTAATCTCTGCTCGAATTTTCACCTGACTCAATATTTATATAAAGACAGCATCGAGTGCTTTGTTTTTATAGCAACCAGCTCAGTTATGTTCGCAAGTTGTGGTGAGTTTTGATTTTTTTTTGCAGGGTCGTTAATAAGTACTGTACGTTCTTTGTAAAATCGGTGTTAGTTTAAGTTGATATCCCTAAACTGCATCCTCGAAGGATGGATTTGTAAGATGTGGGTAAAACTGGTGCATTAAAGAAAGAAGTTAACTGCATTTACAAGGAGGGTGGAAACATGCATCCAGAATTGTAAAATATGGGTGGCGGTTGCGTCTTGGTTTATTGCATCCTTTAAGGTGAAGGACTTTGTATTTGTGTGCTGCAATAGAATTGTGCTACAGTATTACCTGCAGTTAAGATGGTTCTCAACAATAAATGGTTCATTCAATATAATATTGTACTGGTGACTGAACATCACAAGAAAAATGGGAATGAATTAACTTATGTAGTGATGAACATGTATTTCAGTTTGTTGTTTTGTCTTGTCAGTGAATTCTTTCCAAATGGCTCGTACCTTGGTAGGACAGGCAATGGGTTGGTAACGTGACGTGCACGACTATGGCAATGTAATCTAATCAAAATATCAGGCTAAGATATAACTTTAAACTTAATCCCTAATTGATTTTAATATTCTGGATACAACTCGCTGAAATTTAACAGCAAGTTCAAGGGCTGTGTTGATTCGTGTTAAGTTTATGAGTTTTGTATATGTGAGATTTTGTGGGCCAATTTAGAAAATCGGTTTAGTCCAGGTGTCGGCAACCTGTGGCTTCGGAGCAGCACGCAGTTCTTTAAAGACTGCTTCGTGGTGTTACTTTTTTAAAAATTAGTTTCACCGTCTCGTATTCACATTGCATTGCGGCTCTTGAAATCTTAAATTTTTTACAGCGAATTTGAGAAAATGCCTCCTTGTTATTTTGGTTGCTGCCCCCTGGTTTAGTCTGCGTCGGTTTATGAAGAGTTTTGTAAACTTGGTGAGGAGCGACCCTTTTAGAATCCATGCAGCGTAGTTTTGACAGTGATACACTCAGCCTTTGCAGGGCCTGGGCATCACCACTAAGGCAGCAGCAGCAGCTGCTTCTGACGCGTACCCTTCTCCGCTTGGTCCCTGGTGGCGAGAAAGCTTTGTTGAAAGCTCACCATGGAAATTGTGCTGGCAAGTTACAGTAGGCCTGCTTATGATTAAGTGGATATTCTGAAAAACAGATGCTGTATTCTGTTTGGATAAAGGTCAGTGTTGTGAGACATAATTTGAATGTTAAGTTGGGAAAAAAATGCCAAATGCGCAGGTTTTTTTGTTTGGTGTTAAACTCATGGACCATCTTTAGGTTATTTGCACTGGTAAAGTTCTAGCATGCTAACATTTTTTATTTCCTTTTTCCTTCTAGGTGGGAGGCTGAGTGCATATTCAATGACGCACACGTGACATACCTGGGATTGCAAGAGTGGGAGCTTGGAAGCTCTTAAAGATGGGTAAGTTTTAAAATGGCCCGCACGCAGTGTGCGCTGCTTGCGCTGCATGCAGATTGCATCAAGTACGATTGTACTTTCGTTGAATTATGCGGTATTTGCAAGTAACTTGCACGAACTGGGAGAGCCTTGTTTGGCTGCTTTGCCTAGCAACCAAGGTTTCAGATGACCGTGATAGTGTACGGTCTCCCTGTAATCAAGACGTTACAGGAAATTATTACAAAGTGTTTGTGTTTGATAAAGTTGCATATTACAGAGTTTCTTCCCTTGCCTGGTACAATTTGTCTGGCAAATATTAGCGATGTTTGATTTGGAAGTGGTCTGGTCTTTTGCTGCCACATAGCGGGGATCACATTCGTGCTGGCCATTGTATTAGTTTACCCTTTGTGTTTTGTATTTGTAGCTTAAATACATGGACACAAGACCGGCGTAACTACTTAAACTTTTTTTTCTTATACTTGCTTGTCGGCATTCCGACCAGTCGCTTGCCAAAATATTACAGCGAGTTTGAAGGTTCCAGTGACTTCACATGCCACCGTCTCCAAATTTCTAAAGTTCCATCTACCAGTTGCATATACAGTTGCATAGCGAGACCGGTGCAATAGTTTCACAAACCACTTTTCAACAATGTAAAACCTGATGCTGAAACGTTGACTTGTGCAAATTGCCTTTTTGCTCTTAAAAACCATGCGGCACTTTTAATTTACCTGTGCATGCCCAGCACACCTTGTTGTGAGATGTTTAACGAACCCTGACGGGTTGCAAGGGGCTTTCCCATATTCGATGTAATAATTAACTTGAACAACAAAAATAACTTGCCAAAGTTCACATAGCTTCTTCACGTTAGGCTTCCGATGTTAAGAGAGATACATTGTTGTCTCTCACTAAGATTCAACTGAGTTCAGAGACAGCAGTAACATAAATCATACAAGAACGTGTTCCTTTGAACACATTTTAATGAAATAACAAAATATGCAATTAATGACAAATGCACTGTGGGCAAGAACAACCCCGAAGGGCACACGTAGAATTACGTCACGTTGGAATTTACCACTCGTCCGAGTGTTTATATTTATCAAGCCAAATATTAAAATCATGTGGAGGTTATGCATCCACACTATACCCAAAGAATTAAAAAAGAGACAATAATGCAGAATTGTGGAATTATGTTGCATTTAATCTTGTATTATGCTCAAATGTTTACACCTACATTTTTTACACACACACCACACACTTGTTCTACGTCAAAAAAAGACTATCATGTGTGTGAGGTTATAATGGTGTGCTGCATATGCGAACTTTATAAATGGAACATCACTGAGCTGACTTTTGGTGACAAAGTAGGTAGAGCTGGTACTGCAGTCAGAAAAATAGCCTCGTTTCTTCCTCCTGCAAAAAATTTGTTTTGTCTTACCAATCCTAACCCATGTTAGTGAATACTCCTGCTCTCAGGACTGTAGTCTGCCTTTACTTGATGGTTTTACCTGCTATGCCCTTGCCCAAGCTTTGGGAATGTGTGCACTTATGCAATTTGAACTTAGATACCGTACCAACTTTATTTATTTGTAGTGATTTGCTTACCTTTCAAATACTTTGCACTCCTATCGTTTTTTTTTATATCGTCTGATGTTGGTAACTTTCTGACTTGCCCCTACTGGACATCTGTGAAGAAAAGAGCTTCACATCTCATCAGATTTCCCCAGGATAAATGAAGATTCCGATTCTGTTACTGTACACATCTTTAATTACCTTAACTCAGCAAAAATGTGCTACAGTGCAGATCACTTGTATTGCCACCCATGTGTACTTTTCTTTTCTTTCAAAGGGAAATAATGAGACCAGTGCCACACAGATCTGCATATCTCGAGTTGCTGTTTGCGTATTTGGAGTCATTTGGCTGCTATACATTTCCACATGATATGCCACTATCATCTGTAGCCAGGCTGCTTCTGAAAAAGAACGACATAGCTCAGTGGGCCTTGCCTGGTAAAGTAAAAAGAGTTTTAATAGTTTTAGTTTAGTTTGCATGGAATATAGTTTAGTGTGCATGGACTATGCATGGCAAGGTGTTTGTAATGTGCATCGTGTCATTTTTCATTCCTAAATATTGCCTTCTGTGTTTTTCCTTCTTCATTTGACAGTGTTTATAATGACTGTTTATTTAAAACAAGTGTTGGTTGACTCACTAATGGTTCTGTTTATGTGCTGTGCTTTTGTGCTAAAAACATGGACTTGTGATTTACATAAAACTCGATCTCCTCATCCTTTTTACAGTTGAAATCTGTCGAACAAACAGTTGCCCTTTGTGGGTTTTCATGGCTTTCCTATTGAAAAAATTTAGCCGAAAACTCTAAAAATATCCAGATGTATTGCCATGCATATGGTCGTTAAATATGAGTGAGCAGCCTTAACCCAACTGCTCATATTCATACACCAACTCCAACTAGTTTGTAGTCCTTTCCCGCACCTTAAATTAGCACGTGTTGGCTCCGTACGGTGCGAGGAGAGCTTCAACACACCGTACACACGTGTAACAATACTCTGAACATTTAGCCTAGTTTAAAGGTGTCCCTCGAAAAGTAAGCCAAGCAAAGATGCAAAAACCGAACCAGATTTCCTGTTCTATAACAGCGAGGCTTTGCTCTGGAGCTGTTACAATTGCAACCAGATCTGTATAAACTGTAGGGCATTCTCTAATGCCCTACAGCGGGTGACGTTTAATTGGTTTACCTGAAATGACCTCGTGCAGAGAGGGTTGAACTTCCCACTGGATTGACAGTTTGAATGCCCCTGCTTACGGTTGCCATTATTTAAATATATATTTGCCACACAGCATCGTCTTGTTGGGTTTCTTAAGCATTTGTAGAGATGGGTTTTAAGGGTGTCGTGGGGAAGGCTGCATGAGGTTTTAGTTAATAAACTTGAAGGCGCAAGAGACATTTCAACATGGCTGTGGTTTTAGCTGACGCAGGCAGAATTCAGAGTCAAATAAATATAGGATAGGATTATTCTTTTCTCTAATCTCATGCCACGTTACAAGTGGATTGGACTGCTGATTTTAATATTTTAAATGTAAAATGTGTTAGTGATGCGTTAGTCGGAAAAGACATGCGTGCGATAAAATTGGCACGCGGGTACTTTAAAGGTTATACCATTGGTTATAAACACAAACGGTCGTTTCTTGAATCAGAACATTTACGCTGTTTTCATTTGCCCAAACAGACGCGGCGGAGTCACTTGGAGGGAGAGAAGTCAGTCCCCCCTTGATTCAATTTTTGAGTCCTTCAAAGAGGGCAGGTCAAAGCAATTGAATAACAATGCACTTCCTGTAAATAAACAGCTATTGTCAAACATTGACTCAGAAATGAACCCACATCCTCAGTCGGAGTTCACTTTTCAGCTATTGTTGTTAGGCAACTGAGTTCAGTGATATCCGGTGAGGTTTAATTCTGGGTACTATAATGACACACACGTTCGCTCGTTCTATGAAGGCATTTCTCAGCAGAATTGCAATTGATCAAGATCAAGTGTGGCGTCTTTGCAACGACTTTTTCATTGGGATAATTCTTGAGTCCAGCATGACTTGCGTACGGCACACCGACCGAATTATCCGGCAATGTTGTTATGTTGCCGAATGCATCTTCAGCAATGATTAGTTTTAAGACATGTAATGTTTCACACAGTAACTCCAAGCTAGCGTGTTTAGTGTGACCATAAAATGTTTGCATAACTGAGGTTTCCAAACATGCTCAGCATTTTTTCGGATGAAAACCCTCCACATTGCTACCCTTGTGCACATACCATTCGCTGTGGATTAGCCACTTTTAAACAGCAGTTGGGTTCTTGTGCACTGGTGTAATACTTATTATTATTTGATAATGCAGTCAATTTGCTTTTGATTTGAAACGACACGCAGTTTTTTTTCTCTCTCACTTGTTAAAGAAAAGTGCTGTTATTACTAGACAATATTCAAACGTTATTTTGACCAAACGTTCTCTCAAATTATACTTGAATTTCTAGCAAACAAAAACATCTCCTTGCTCGAGAGGTCGCTCGTAAGCATTTTTAAAGCTCATGTATATGGCATGCTGCTACACATCATGCTTTCGGTACTCTCTAAATGATGTGCATGATGTGTCACTGTACAGTAGTAATTGTATTCATATTCATTAAGTCTGCTTAATAATAATATGGATTAATTCACTTGCCAATGCACTTAGAATGCTGATTGATTATCTGTAAACCAAAAAAACATCGAGTGGATTGCAGGCACATTTAAGATTGAATATCTGGATTTAGTTTTCTTCCATTCAGCAGCTATATGCTTCTTCTCTGCTATTCACCACCACCACCATCCCCCTTGTTCTATTAACCCACAAAACACGCCAGCCACTAAGCCGCCATGCAGTGCCACCAATTGCGCTGCACATTTTCTAAGCATCTTAGATGTGACATTGAGAACCCTCTCACTGTACCGCGAGCTTGCTTAATGCTGAGCCCCAGGGGAAAGAGGGAGAAATGAGGGGAAATGAGCGGAGGAGAGAGAGGATGACCCTTTTTGTAGCGTGCACTGCGTTGCATTGGACACGCCAGAACAACAGGTGTTCGGTCTGGGCTGTGTTAGTAGTACTTTGTTAATAATTCACGCTTAAAACTGCAGAGCATTAATCCCCGAAGGCCGTAATCTCTAAATATTATGGAATAAAAAAATTACGTGGCCTTTGTTCTGCATACATTTTATTGCGAAGTTTAGTTTATTTTGCACATTCGAACATGCTCACAAGTTCTTTCTGTAACGTCAACGGTCTGTGAGGGAGAACTGATTGCAGGGACTCCGGCCATACAGTACGGTAACTCTTTAGCACCGTGAACGTTGTGTCACTCGCTGTAAAGATAAGCATTTACTCGGTGCGCTAAAACAAAGTAAAGCACACATGTTGCTTTAGAGCAGAACATTCCTGGGGTGTAGTAAACGTGTCTGAGCCTCCGTGCCTGTCACAAGTGTGTGGGGAGCGGTAGTGTAGCGGTTAGTGCGCTGCACTACGAACCTGACGACCTGAGTCGGATTCCTGCTCATGGTCACCAACATGGGCCTCCCCTAGGTCGACTCAGCCTTTAGATGAGTACCCGGTGCGGTGTGAAAGAATCCCCACTGGTGTGGTGTTGGTCACCCACCCTCTCATGTGCCGCACTGGCCTTCATAGGTGCTCGCTAACAGCACATGCCCCTACGGTCTGTTCAGGCTTTATGGGGGAACTTTTTTTCTTTATCTTTGTCACAAGTGTATATTGCCAGACCCTTGACCAGAGAGAGCTTTGTGGTGGAACCTCAAATGACTGTAACAATCGCTGGTGGACTGGGCCTCAACATAACAGTACAGAGACTCCTCTACTTTCAGATGAGTTAGATTCCAGAGGTTTGTTTGTAAGTCGATTTGTTCGTAAGTCCAACTTTACTCCTGTCGATTTCAAACATTGTATGGCATGTACATTCAACACGGCGAATGGCTTTAAAAGTTTTAGAATTTTCTGTAGATGTAGATGCCACCGGTTCTTCATGTTCTGCAGATGTAGATGCCACCAACGCCATCTGTTGCGCGGCGGTTGAACTTGCAACTCTCGGTCCGAACAGGCAACTGGACATACGGACAGGTTTGTTCGTATCTCTGAAAGTTCATAAGTCGAATATTTGTTAGTGGAGGAGTCCCTGTACACCATCACCGCCCTTTAAGTTGTGTCCACAGCATTGGTTGACTTTGGAAATTGGTCACGTGTCTGCTTTATTGTTGAGGCAAAGATTAGATTTTCTGCTGTCCAAGATATATGCATACTGGCTAATTGAAAGAAGTAGAATCATCTATCATTTTATTAACAAAATGGAGTTGGATGTCAACTGCTGCAAATGTGTTTTGAAGTTTCTAAGTATGCTACATTATGTCGTCATTTTCACGTGTGCACACTGAAGTTCAAGATGTTCTGTAAGCTGCTCATGTTATGTACTGTTTTATGTATTCGATGGCATGATATTTTAAATGGCACAGTTCAATGCAATACACTCTACATCATGTCAATATGGTGAATTGTAAATGTATAATATATAAAATCCATACATCACGTGAGCAGATCTTCCCATGACAATACCATGGCTTTTCTCTTTTCGTATCACAGAGTTTACTAAGAATTGTATTAGTGCCTCTAATAGACTTCATTACAGTAACACTGTTGGTGTACTGTTGTATTGAATGCTTCTTACTTCTTCGCTATCAATAACGTTAATGTGCATTAGAGCCAGGGGCCCATCTTGAGAGCTTTAACATAGGATTTTTTTGTAAACAACCAAAGGAATGTGAACAGGTGGCATTGTAGGGCCATATTTAGCAGCAAAGTACAGATGTTTTACATTAACACGTGATGGTTGCTTCATCTAAGATCTACGTTGTCCACCCAACGCAAAATTTTGACTGTTGCCATCAACACTTGTAGGATTAATTTTATACAACTATACAGGAATGTAACACTTTCAAATAATAGAAATACCCTTCCACAATTTTTTTACTTGATCTATACCATATCCGTCTGCGTATTTAAACCATAAATGTAAAAATGTTTGCCGTCAGCAGATGTGTACAGTATATTATGGAAGACCATAAGAGACATGTTTCAGAATGATGTCACAGCTACCTGGCATGACACTGTGTGTTAATAGCTAAGCAACTGGGATTTTTAGAAAATTGTGTAATCTAGTGTTTCTTCTGTAATTTATTGATATGGTTTAAATTTAGATTCTGGTAATAAATGGGCTTGTTTTGCAATATTTATGCATTATATATTTTTTGTACGGTAAAGCTTGTAAACGACATAGATGTGTTTTTGGAATATTTTCACGTGGAAAATCGTTGCAGAATTATTTAGAGGGCAATTCATGTTCGCTTTGATAATTTTAGTACAGATGGTTAGATAACACGACACGCTTCTTGTCACTTGCAAATCTGCCTTTTTCCAAATTATTGTGTATGTGAACGTTGCTGCGACACTAATTAAAAATATCCCAGACAAAACACGTTTCAGTACGGTTAGATGCAACAGCAATGCAGACAAAGCTTTTTAAAAACTTGATTGCACGGCTGAGCCTACCACAGCGCAATGCGCCTTGAATAACGATTGAAGCGGCATTGGCCTTTTGAGTTGGGCCGTTTCACGTGGCTACTTCGGTCGGACAATCCTTTGTGTGTTGTGCGTTACAGACAAACAGCAGGCGCTCAACTCCATCATGCAGGACCTGGTGGCTCTGCAGCTCTCCAACCGTGTCCGTTCGTCCGCGCAGCCTGAGGACGACCGAGCCAAGGCCGCCGACGTCGCGTTTTCTCGAGCAAAGGCATTGTCTCCTTACGTTGTGCACGCTTCACGCTTGGGGGGGGGGGGTGATATTTTATTGAAGGGAGACGCGACCCAAGCAGTGAACGGGCGAGTAACTTGTGGTTGCATACCCGCCGGCGCGGTTGGCTACGTAACATTGTGAATTAAGTTGAACGTACATACATCCATACCAGTGTTTCCCAGGCTGTCTTGACACCAGTTTTTAAAGTGTTAACAAGGAAACAAATTCTTTAAAAAAATACATGCTCAGTCGCCGTCATAATAATGGCGTGCTTGTGTCATGATGTTATTGCATTCTTATCCTGGAATTTCTCCCAATCATGCGGTGTCTGCCAACAGTGTCATTGCATGAGTACAAAAAAAATCGCTGCAGTGATATTCTTTTTTAATTAACTTTGTTGTGTTGTGTTTTTTCAGTCTGATATTCGAGTGAAGTTTGAATATAATGGGGAAAAGAGGTAAGTTAATTCAATTTAGCATTGTTAGCTTTCTGTTACTTCTGCTGTGACGTTTGCGTTTTCTTTTCTTTTAATTGATCTTCAATATAAATTACAATTGGCTAAAGAGACGAAAATTTTTACCCGACTCACATAACTGAAGGTGTTGTGCATGCCAGGTTGCTAAATAAAAATGTTTTCAACCAGGATCCTACAGTTCCTGAGACCGCTATCTTTGGAGGATGTCCTGCACAAAGCCAAGGTGGCGTTTGGACAGCCTATGGATCTATACTACTCTGGCAATGAGGTACACTTGCATTATGGTTATAGCCAGTTACACCATTATTTCGTAGTCTTTTGTGGAATCTCTCGTGGGTGCAGGGGATTGTATGAACCACTTGTAACATGTAAACATGTAAACATTAAAAATAATTGGTTATTATTTGCACCTCCGATTAGCACGGTTGGCTACATATGGTGCGAAAGAAACTCGGCATATGTTACGTAACTCTATGCATGCAGACGTCTACATTATGAATCGATGAATATTCACACGCCTAATATGTTGTGTTTTCACTTGCAGTTTCCGTTCTATCGTGGAGTTGTAGTCTGTTTGCTGACATTGGTAACCCTGTGTGCTTTTATGCTGCAGCTGATGATCCCGTTGAGGAGCCAGGAGGAGCTGGATCAAGCGGTAGAGCTCATGGATCGGAATCCGCACATGAAGTGCCTAAGAATTGCTCTTCACTTGCACGTGAGGCTTGTGGATGCTCAATAACTTATTTTTTTGTAATATTGTCACATTTAGCCTGTAATAATAATGTACAATCCGCTGCAGAATGAAGACCAACCGCTTGCTCTGTCAATCATTGCTGGTCGGGTTGGGGTGGTGAAGTAGGGCAGCCAGAACGCGTTCAGATATCTCATTGTTAGCCGTGGCTGGGAATAAAACTCAATCCCAGAGTTCGTAGTGCAGTGTGCGATTGACTACCACCTTTCAGGAAATCTTCGTTTTTTTTTATATGTATACAGCCGTATTGTGGTGTACATCTGGGTAGAATAGTGGACAGTGTTAGCTACCATTAAGCTAGTTGCATGTGGCATATTAATGTATGCTTGGATCAGGGTCTACTTGGCATCGCGTATAACAACAATGAAGTTGCTCACCGTAATGATGGTGCGTTGCTTGTGCACAGGTGTTGGCAACCTCACCGGCATCGTCTCCGAGCAGTTGTCGTCCCTCTCTGCGGCTGCACTCGCCCCCGTGTCCGCCTGACCCGGTCGACCCTCTCGTCCGCAAGAGGGGCACCGAGGGTCACTTCGGTAAGGGATTAGTTCCCGAGTTTATAGGGCGCAACTTTCCTTGCACGTAACTCCGTTGCAATCTTCACGTATTTCCTAACATTCCATGTTAAACGCGACAGCTTCGTTGCTTCGGTTTTGCAATGCAATCGCATCGTTCTGAGACATTCAATGCGATTATGTCCCATACCTTTATACAGTGTGATCTATTTATAGATACTCCATTAAAATAATATGGAGAATTTATAGAGAAAACAATGTTTTATTCCAATGCCTCTACACTCTCCACTGTAAAATATTGAGCCATCGCTTCCACGCGTCAACTTTGAGAAGAACGCAACAACGTAATTAGATATCAGTGGGATATCTATGCGTTGATCACTGTATAATAAAGTATAAGACGAGGCTTTATCTCCCAATTCTGCTCTCAGCCTTGCGGCCAGGCATAGGGAACCCAGCGGGGAAACTGGGCAAGAAAAAATAGGCACTTTCTCATAATAACAACCAGGGTTTTTATGAAAAGAATCAAAACACAAACAGGAATGTACAGAAAAAGCAATTCAAGTGAGTGGAGCATTTGTAAAAGGTGGATTAATCCAGATTTTCTATTAAACATCTCTACTTTTTCATTTGCATAAAAAATCTTCTTCTATTTGGTGAATCCTTGCCCTTATCCAGTCAGTTGGAATACATAAGCAATACAATTGTATAATTCAAAGACTGTGAACATATTTAATTGATGTGGACCTGAATACGGCCTCATTTCTCCAGTGTTGGCATACTATGCTAAACGGAGTTACAGGCAATAATGTTGTTCCTAGCAACAGCATTGCAAAAAAATAAAACATTTCACTTTAGCTTTGCTCAGCTGTTCTTGCAGATGCGAGCGGTAACAATGGTCATGACTTTGGCCAGTGGCCATAACGAAATATAATCGGATAAATACATATCTGTGTTTATGCAACCATGTGATAGCCTGCTTACAGTTCTTCATGTCTTATTACATTTTTTTATCCACTTTTGATATTTGGCATTTGACACTGACCTCAATAAACATGACCTGCTCTTATGAGTGACATTAAACATGTCTTGGTTCCATGGCAAGTGTAACCAATTGTAGTTCATGGTTTTGGTTCAACTATTTTCCGGCAGGTCGCACAATAACGTTACCTTGTGCTGTTGGACCACGTGACATATGTTATCACATGGAGCTGTGATATAACCTTTGCATGTGTACACGTAACCACTAATCTACACATTTTTATCTCCAGTCTGTCAACACTCTCTTGTTTATCTCATTTTCATTTAACTCATCTATTTTTCATCTAAATTTCGCATATCAGTTAGCTTTCTTCTCTGCGAGCTCAGCGGGCCACTCAAAATGGTTTATTTGTCCAGGTATGGCCCGTAGACCACCAATTGAAACATTTCAGCTTTAGCCTATTCAGATGTTTTGCTGAAGATTTGAACTCTCTTGAGGCCACAGCTGGGGTTGATGTTAAGGAGCGTGTGTGTACATGTGTGGTAGTGCAGTGGTTAGCTACGAACCCAGTGACCCGTGTTCAATTCCCGCTCATGGCCAACGCCAGTGACGATTATCTGAATCGGTCATGGGCCTCCCCTCGGTTGACTCAGCCTCAAATGAGTACCTGGTGCGGTGTGTACAAAACATTGCCACTGGGGAGAGAAAGGCGGTCGGGCGTGATGCTGGCCCCGCACGTCTACCGTGCCGGTCTTCATAGGTGCTTCTCGCTAACAGCACTTGCCCCAACAGTCTGTGAAGGCTATACAGGAGATCATCTTTGTCTTGGTGTATGTGCTCCCCCTGCTTGCAGGTGTGTACCCACCAGAGCGGAGTTCCCCGCCACCCGGGTACATCCCAGCTGGACAGCGACAAGCGGCGCGGCACGGCTCCTACACGAGCATCCACAGCGAGGGGGAGTTCATCCCTGACGACACATGCGTAGGTTCTGCCCCACGGCACACCCGTAATCAATTATCAGCTCCACAGGGTCACGGTTAATGATAACCACATCCAGTTACATCTTAGTGACGAATCAAACGCAATGATCGACACTCAAGAGCATTCTAACCTGTACGGCCCCATCCAATGTGATCGGTCATGCGATAAGCCATTACTTATGCATGTATATAAAAAAAACATACATTCCTGATTAAAGGTCTTGCCAGACTGTATCCGTCATAAGGTTTGTTTGATCCTACTTCGTGTGTGCAATCCGAATATATTAATTGTAGGCAAAACCCTTGTAGCAAAATACAGGTTTTTTACTCAATTTGTTGCTTAAGCAACATCACAGTCAACACCTTGTGGGTAATTCATGACTGCCATAATGCTCATTAATATGTTGCTGTTGTTGGTAACTCAACCCCTGTAGATTGTCAAAGGGCCGTGCTCATAACAAGCCTTGTGTGTGTGTGCATGCTTTTGTGCTTGGGGGTTGTTAGTCTAAGGCGGTTGTTGCTGGTAATGTTTGTCAGCGTGCAAGGAGCAAAGTCGAACGGAATTCCTTCGCCTCGAGTTTGTAAGATGTAGCCATAGACAAGGGAGACCAACGGTGAATGTTGTCGTTCTTTAGTTTGAAAGTGCATACACTGCTACTCTTATTTCCCTCGACAAATTCCAGTTTGTCTTGGTTTCTCTTTAGCAGTTTTTTTTTTGGTTTACGTTGAGCTTTCATAGCCATGTTTACAGTAGGTGAATGTGATACTTTTGTAAGTGAAAGAAAAAGGATTTTTAAAAAATGCCCAACATATGTATATCAATGCTGACTTTATTTCGCTTGACACTGGTGATAGCTTTTACAATAAGTTATCATTCTCATTTAACGTAATTATTTAGAAGACTCAATGAATAAAATACACTTCTCCCAGCTCAATTGTTTATTTGCAGTAACTAATGTTATGCGCTTATTTCAGGTGGAAATTGATCCACTTTCACCAAGCAGCCCTGAGAACTCCACCTTTGGAAGCTGCCACTCCCTGGACAGCCCTTTGGCAGGGTAAGCTCCTGAAGCACTTGAAATATAACAACGGCACATGTTTTACAATGCAAAGCATATTGAAATTGAAGGTCTAATATTGACAAAAGAGTTTTGTTTGCTCATGTTTTCTCAGCGATTCTCACCACAAAGGCTGGATCCCTCGTACCAAGAGCTACCCTGACAACCACCAAGAATTCTCAGGTCAGTTGCGTTATTTACACCGTCATTGACTGCGCATGGTCAGTGTCACAGTGTTGCTGTGTGCGCGTGTTCGTCGGCCCACCTGCCCTTTTTACGCAGTTTGGTCAAAGGGTAGATGAAACGAGCACACCTAATGGAGGCATTCGGGGAAGACAATGCTGCCTCCAGTTCCTAGCTGTGGGGCTGGAAGTAATTCCACTCGCATTATGTAGTGCTCACTGTGTTGTATTCCGTTTTCGCGGGTGCCTCCTGATCTTGCAGAATATGAACTCCCGTACTTTGAACGAGTGGGAAAAGGGGGGACCTACCCGAGGCGAGTCAACTCCACATTCCAGCGTCACGACTGCAATGAAGGTGAGGCGGCTTCCATGCCCGGTGGTTAAAAATGTCTCTTCTATGTTCTTGCCAGCTGTTTTTGAGATATTTATTCTGTAATATAGGTATTTGTAATTTTGCGTGATTTATTTTCATATTAGACGTTGCGGGCGATCGGAGGCGTTGCAGCAACATCCATTGTACTATACTTCTATGCTGCCAAGTCTATACTCATAGCCTTTAAAAACTTGACTCGAAGCTTTCGTGACTGCAGGAATTCATATTCTTTGGGTCTTTCGGTAAAGTCACGTAGATTGGTTTAAAGAAAATAACAAAAAACTACGACGTTTCGATCGCAACACAAGCGGACGTGTTGCGATCGAAACGTCGTAGTTTTTTTTATTTTCTTTCAACCTAATACGTGACTTTACTGAAAGACCCAAATAATAGCCTTTATCAACCCACGCAAACCAGCCCTGGTGGTGAAGAGGCCTTCAGCCATTAGTATATTGACCAAAGAGCTGTATATGTGCACTCGTATTAGAATCGCATTTATATATTCATGCTTATCCTTTATCCATAAAGAACACGAATTGAGTATCAATAATTATCCAAGAGAGTTCTACTTTTGTATAATTTGGCTGATTCCATTTTAAGGAGTGTTTGCATATCGCAAGAAAACAGAGAGCTTGATCAACCCTACTCATCTCAGGATATACAGTAAAACTTTGGATTGCGAGCATAATTCGTTCCGGAAACGTGTTCGTAATCCAAAGCACTCGTTTATCAAAGCGAATTGCCCCATAAATAATGGAAACTCAGATGATTCGTTCCACAACCCAAAAATACTGTATTCATATAAAAAACGATTAATACAAAATACCTTTTTATATTTTTATTATTTAAATTTAATATAAAGGAATCAAATTTATTAATTAAATGTAATCGTGGCTGGTGTGATGGAGACGAGAGAACGACTTTCACTTGCAGTACAGTTACTAAAGAACAGTCACTACACTTGGACACAAAATAAAACATGCTTTACGCACCCACACGTGGTCACAACACTATAGTAAACAGTATACGCTCGCACGAATGTTGACTATACGAGTGAGGCACGCCGACTGAGACCGAGCATGGGAGACGATTACGCACAATCCCGCAGCGAGAGAGAGAGAGAGAAGAACCATCGGCACAGTTGTGATCACGTGACGCTTGGCAGACAAAGCGTATACTGTACGTACTACAGTACTCGTATTGCAAGACCTCGCTCGTTTATCAAATTAATATTTATTTAAAAATTTTGCTCGTCTTGCAAAACACTCGCAGACCAGTTACTCGCAATCGAAGGTTTTACTGTAGCTCAATGAGTCAGACAAACTGGCATATTTGGCCATTTCACAACCCAGCAGTTTTTTGAAGTTGCATACACCTGCATGATCCATTCAACCCTTGCCTCCATAATGTGGGATCACAGGCATGTGCCACCACACCTGGTTATTATTAATAAACACATAATAGTCTATTTGGGGAATGTTGGCACGAGAGTTTTATGCTCTACACTGTATGTATGTTGAACTTCTTTTGCACGTACGTAGCCAACTTTTCTAATCGGAGGTGCGGGGGAGGACAACTATTAAGCCAATGACCAGGGTTCAATTCCCGCCCACAGCTAACCATGGGGGCGAGTGATATATACCATACCCAGTTTCCTTCGCCCCCCTCCCCTTTACCATTCAAACAACCCCCATGACGAATACGACATTGGAAGGCCTTTATCCAACAGTGTATTGACTGTTCATTTTTCTATTCATAGTCTACATAATTACAGTATAACACGTAGGCTTTCGCGACCAATATCCATAAGACCCGACACAGCCAATTAGTAAGGTCACGTAAACAGAACATGCCAATTCGTTACTAGTAACAGCACACCGGTGTGTTGGAGAGCAAATCCACAACATTTACAATCGGGAGAAAAAAAGTGGCCGGGTGGTGTTGGCCACCCACCCCCTCGTGTGCCATACCGGCTTTGATCGGTGCTTACCAACGGCACTTGCCAATAAAGTCTGTTAAGGCTATGCAGGGGGGATATTTTCTTTGTGTACAGTACAATAACGTAGGATTATAATCTCTAGGTGTATCTTTTTATTCTCGGGTGGTGATCGTGCCTTACTTAATTGCGATGGCAAAACCAGCCGAGCTAGCAGCGTTCCAGAAAATATCGAGAAATCTGAGATTGTAAATGTTGTGGATTTTCTCTCTAACACACTGGTGTGCTGTACTAGTAACGAATTGGCATGTTCTGTTTACATGACAAAACTTTCTAATTGGCTGTGTCGGGTGGTGGCGGGTTTAACGACACATTTATATAGTTACATAATCTAACCCAAAAAACCTATCATGGATAATTACATTACTTTTATAGTCATTGCACAAGAGATAATACATTTTTTTGGACTCTGTTCAACAACAGACACTGAAAATTGTAATTCCGTGCATTTATTTTCAGGCCGCAAGACATTCCCACGCGTGCGCTGCCCCCAGAACAGCTGGCTGCTCTCGCCGTTCGGCTGCAGCCCCACGGACGTCTCGCTGAGCACGAGCAGCGGCAGCAGCGGCATCTTCACTCCCGAGCCAGATGAGGGACGGGCGCGGCGACTCGCCGGAGGCGTAGGGGGGGAGCTAGCAGAGAACGCCGACGTCAGCCCACCCTCTCGATGTGAGGTCCAGCTTGAGCTCGCTCGTGCCCCGTCAACTTCTTCTGTCCATCCTCCTGGCATCATTTTTTCGTGCTGCTCATCGTAATGTGAACTCGGAGTAAAAAACAATGCCGAATGGATTTAAATGAAGCCCACAGTCTTTTTTTTTTACCAGTTTTGTTCAACTTATGCTATGTGCATCATGCCATGCGACAAGACTGTACGGAACTTGCACAGAGCGGTGTGTTAGAGAATGGCCCGCAGAAGCACATTTCATCGAATTGTTCTCAGGTCATTTTTTTTTCTAGGCTAGACACTTCCCACATACATTGCTGTTGAAAAATGTTAGAAGCATTGCAGTCATACCGATATTTTTCAATTCTCTGCGCTGTAATATAGCCTCATTAAGTGGAAATTAAATATGTCACGGCTTGCTTTTTTTACACGTAATAGAATTACATAAAACGCTTAAATCGTCAATAACCATTAAGTAATTATAGCATTAAACAGCGTTCAGGAATGCAAGCATGATTAAGCGCCACGGTGGCGAGATGTTAAATACCTCGCCCGCTATACAGGAGGTCGTGGGTTCGATCTCGACCCTGATGTCTGTATATTAGGAGTTTGCATGTTCTCCCTGCAGTTGTGTGGGTTTTACTCCACATTTAGAAAAATGCATTTAGAGTATTTGGCTGCAGTAAATTTCCACGTGATAAGCCACTTCTTTGATCTATTTTTAATTGCCATGTCCCTTCTGAAAAAGAGCTACTTACCTCAGTGGGCCTTACTTACCGGGTAAAATAAAAAGAGTTTTAGTTGAAGCTAATCGTGCGACGGTTACCGTTTGCTCCCGTTCTGTGTGTCTGCAGCACCGCGTGCCCCCACTAACTGGCAGCGGGGCAAGCTGCTGGGGCAGGGCGCGTTCGGCCGCGTGTATCTGTGCTACGACGCGGACACCGGGCGCGAGCTCGCCGTCAAGCAGGTGCAGTTCGACCCCGGCAGCGTGGAGACCAGCAAGGTGGGTCCGATCTCGCCGGCGCCTGTGAGGCATGTTGGAGAGATTGTGGGTTTTTGGCAAGAGTCTAAGATAAAAATGTTTCTCTGGAAAAGTGCCGTGTAATTGAATTACTTTTAAAAAAGTAATTCAGTTCATGTCAGCAACAACATTTTAGTAATCGTAAAATGTACATCCGACACAAAATTCTGCTTTTAATTCTAAAGTAATTACATGCAAGTTATACTTTAGTTAAAGTCGTATAATTACAAATAAAAATGCAGCCAGGTGAAATTAACTTAACAAAAAAATCAGTGTGTGATTTTGAGTTTTAACTACTAGTTTAAAATAAGTGTTTCTGATAGATATGCAAGCTTGCATTTCTTAATCAACTATTGCGTCTCTGTGTATGCGTATGTTTTGTGGGGGGCGGTAGTATAGCGGGTTTACCTAACTGTGCTACGAACCCGGCAACACGAGTTCAATTCCCGCTCACGCCCAACACTCGTGAGACGAATATGTAAACCAGTCTTGGGCCTCCCCTAGGTCGACTCAGCCTCAAATGAGTATCTGGTGCGGTGTATACAAACATCGCCAATGCGGAAACAGGCGGCCGGGCGTGGTGCTGGCCACCCACCCCCTAGTGCGCCGTGCCGGCCTCCATAGATACTCGCTAACAGAACTTGCCCCGATAGTCTGTTAAAGCTGTAAGGGGGATCTTTGTCCTTTGTTTTTGTGTATGTATGGCAGGAGGTGAATGCGCTGGAGTGCGAGATCCAGCTGCTAAAGAACTTGCAGCACGAGCGTATCGTTCAGTACTTCGGCTGCCTTCGTGACCCCCAGCAAAAGACGCTGTCCATCTTCATGGAGTACATGCCTGGGGTATGTCCTGGCGAATCTTAGCCACTCTCATTCAGAGACCCTCTATTGCAAAGGGGAGCAGCCATATAAATTCCACGTGGGTCCATATAAATGGGATAATTAACTCGCTGTCATCTTCTGGGGCCATCTTGCTGCCCAGCAAGTTTGGGAGTTTCACAGATTTATCCACCAACTCCTGCTTTTCAGAGCATTACAGTATCCCCTCGTTATTCACGGACTTGCTATCTTCGATTTTGGCTATCCGTGATTCGCATCTGGAACTCTGCATGACTGTATTAAGAGAGAGAGAAAGCAAGTAACGAGATATAGAGTGATGAGAGAGAAAGCTTACGTATTTATTTAAGGTAATATCAATATTAACCACAAAATGTGCTATTCACGAGCATCTCTGGAATGTATCCCTCGCGAATAATGAGGGAATACTCTAGTTAGCAGGTATGCACTACTTCGATTGGGTGGTGTTGGATGGTTAACACGAATGCTTTCTTTCGTGGGAGAATTCCCTTTTGGCAGCTGTTAGGTTTAGGAAGATGGAATATCATGCAGGAAGGATGATATTCTTGTGATGACAGCCTCAGAAGCTCCCGGTGTGCATCTAGTTGATATTCTTGGCTCTGCGAGTCTTTGACAGTGTTTAATACATCGTTATTCAATGCTGCGATCACAAATTTATGGTGAACACTCCTTAATCCATGCCAATTTCTGAACTTGCAGAGTTTTGTGTTTCTTGGCTTTTACTCAGCTTATAAATAGTGTTTAAAATATAGATTCCTAAGACCATTTGAGAAAATTAATTACTCCTAAACCAAAAATTACATTTAGGCTCTGGCAGTATCTGTATACCGAACCTCAAATATTAAATATAAGGTATATGTGTGTCTTCATTTATTTTGAAGTGTCATTGTTACGATAAATAAATAAGGCTTATTTATAAAGTTTCTCTTCAGGGTATATACATTTAACTACTCGCACGAAAAGCTGAAATCGGTGTGTAAACCTTTCTGAGGCTATGGGTTTGTTCTGGATAAGCTTAATCAAAACGAGGAATGTATGAAACTTTGCCACATGGTCAGGGTACAAGGTGCAAATAAAACCTTCTAATAGCTCTGTGTGTCAACACCCATACATTAATATATTACTTTTTGGCATAGCTACATTTGATTACTATTCTTTTTTAAGGAGTAATTTATTATCTGGGGCTCTTAACGGGCGCCAAGGTTGGCGAGATATTAATTACCTTGCCTGTTATACAGAAGTTCGTGGGTTCAATCCCGACCCTGTTGCCGTCCTGCGGTATATTTTGAGTTTGCATGTTCTACCCGTAATTGTGTATTTAGAGTTTTTGACTGCTCTAAATTTCCACATGATAAGCCACTTTGTGGAGCTATCGTTTGTGGCCAGGTTGCTTCTGAAAATAGTTTTATAGCTCAGTGGGCCATAATTAGTAAAATAAAAATAGCTTAGTTTTATAGTTTAGATGCAGTTCATGATGAGAACAACGTTTACGGGCCATTAATTGTACTTTATATGGGGGATCTGCACATCACAGATTGAGCTGTTTTTTGTTCCACTGTGGTTGCACGTGTCAGCACATTGTTTAATGGAGCCAGGAATGCTGGCAGTGTGGGTCTTGGCTGTGGAGGCCTTTGGTTTCCTGTTGTTCCTCCTGTTTTTGACTGACAGCCATAACTTTGAGAGTTAAAAAAAAAGTAGAAAAACTCAGACGGCTTCTAAAGTCTGCGGTTTGTTATTGCGGCTCGGAAGGAGGCGTGCCGAAACGAGTAGAAGCCTAACATCTGACGTGGGCGTGGGAGCGATTTTCAAGTCTCTCGGGAAACAAAAGGGGGTTTCCTCAGACACAGCCGGCCGGAGTGCCTGAGAGCAGATGCGCGAGTAGCTGCTGCGCGCGTCGGTAATATTTCGTGGCACACAAAAAGAAAAAGGCGGCCGTGATCGTGTCCATTTTCTGTTCACGTTGTGGAAATGGGCCAGGCTGCAGGCGGAAATATGCCAAGTATGAAGGCCATGTGGAGCAATGCTGCACCTTTACCCAAGTGTTCGCATTGATTGGGAAGCATGCTGTGCTTCTTTCTTGTTAATGACATGTATTCTGAAATTAATCGTGAACGTTGATATTCACGGCGCACTTGTTTTTGTACAATTGTTGTTTGTTATTTGAAGATGGAATTTGTTATTTAACATCACCGTTATGTTTTGGTTGCTGGGCTGAGTTTTTTAAATACACTTATGGGTATAGTTTTCTGAAGTCCACATGTTCACATATGAAGGGAGTATGTTATGGCATGACATATTTTTTAGTTTTAGCAGCTCAAGTGAAGCTTTCCATTGCCTTTGTAAAAAAAAACAATCTACTAGATGCACTCTGTACATCTTCCCCATGCAAGACAATGCACAGCACCTGTTTAGTGTCCCCTTTACATTCTAAACCTTTTGACAAATGGTCGTGCGTTACAAACGAATGGTAATTTTTTTTTACAGCAATTGATATTAGCATTACAAAAATTTCCTTCACCTCTGTGCAGGGTTCCATCAAGGACCAGCTGCGTGCGTACGGGGCACTGACGGAGAACGTGACGCGCAAGTACACGCGGCAGATCCTGGAGGGTGTCTCTTTCTTGCACGGCAACATGATTGTTCATCGTGACATTAAGGGTGAGTAAGGGTTGTGCATTTGCAAGCGTTTATATTGGGAGCCCTCCTCGGTCTTACGTTAAAGGCTCTAAAATTAGATTTTGATGGATGGTGGGACTGCCAGGGGTGGCACTGTGGCCTCTTTATCGCATGCAGTGCCTTTCGTTTGGTTCCGTGCCATGTGTTGAATCTGTAAATGGGAATGACTTTCCTATGTTGCATCGGTGTTAATATTTCACCTAAATTAATGACGAAATTATTTGTCAACAAAGCGTTATTTTAAGTTTGGTCAACACTGACTGAGTGGTTGATTATTGTCAAACGTGAAAATGACTGCCAAAGACCCAATCATGACTGACTACAACGAGACAAAATTATACAATCTAAATGAAGGAGGAGACCGTGAGTTAGGTAGCATATAAAGTTTAAATTAAATGCAGTTAATATGCGAGTGACAATTTTTTTTATACCTAAGTGGTCAATGTCTATGTGTATTTTTACATCCAAGAATATTATTGGCTTATGTAGTGTGGATGTTCATGAAATCCTTGTAAGTTCAAGCTTAAAAGGTGTTATTTTTTCTTAAAATATGAAAGTACGTGACTTTATCGAAAGAACCAAGAATATGAATCCCTGCAGTCACGAAAGCTTTAAATCGAAAAGTACAGTCTATTTTCCGAAACTTAACTATCTTCATTATGCCTTTTTTGCTACCCCAGTATAACAAGTAGGTTAAACTTTGCAATTATAACAATGATTGGTTTCAATATTGTCTGAAGTTAATGCCATGCCTATCATGAATTAGGATGAGGAAGAGTAGAATGATATACACTTGAGATATGAATTGAAAGGGGAAGTTAATCGGTTAATGAGAATAAAGTGCACTGTCATACATTGCACAGTGAAAGTATGCTTGAGCTAATGAAATAAATGAGTGAAAAATGAGCGCTAATAGTTGCACACATTAAATTCTCGGGACTTTAAAGTTGATAATTCAAGGTCGGTGCCGTAAATTAAGTTAAGAGGGGACTACATTTTTAACTGCTTTAGTCGACAAAAGTAAGAGACTAAAACTCCCATAGGTCTTCATCGGCTAGACTATGACTGAGGAATAATAAAAAAAGCTGTCAAAAATAAACACTGATTAGAATGGGCTGAATGAACTTTTACCGTTTGTGTCTGTCGCTTATCTGGTCTGCTGCTTGATCATAAAATGTCATGTGCAGCTCATGGTGGATTGCCAGGGGCCCGAGTGCACTTTTGCCTTGGTTTTATACTCAAATCTCGTGACTGGTGATGGCTTCCCTTGGATAAATGGACCTTTATTTGTTTCGTGAGTCTGGTAATGAGTGAAATATAAGAGTCTAGGCACCGAATGCAAGCCGGTCAAGCTCTAAGGATGTAAGTCAAAGTAACAAGTACATGGTAGTAGTAGTAGTAATACTTCAAGAATCATTTAGTTCCCATTTACCTTTGAAACATTTCCCTTCAAGGTTGTAATGCTGTTCAGCACATGCACCATGAGGGTCGTCCGCCCTCATCTCTCTCAATATAAATGCCTGCTGTTTTCTTAAATGTAACACCAGGGGGCAACAGAGCGCCGTAGAAATTGTACTTTGCATGGCGGCTGTCTTTGCGCTTCATTATGAAATTTCACATCCAGCACTCGAAACACTGTTCAAGCACTATTCATTACAAAGGAATAAACTGGAGAGTATATATATATTTTTCACCAGTTGGTGAATTTAGCACACCGTATCGTGTGCATGCTGAGAGGGAGAATATTATCGACGAGCTCTTTGCACGTGGAAGAGCCGCCTACGGAAGTGTTCTCGTCCCCTCATGCTCACGTGTGCGCACGTCTGTCCTGATCCGTGCAGGTGCCAACATCCTGCGCGACTCTACGGGCAACGTGAAGCTGGGAGACTTCGGCGCGAGCAAGCGACTGCAGACGATCTGCTCGCAGGGCACGGCAATGCGCTCAGTCACGGGGACGCCCTACTGGATGAGCCCTGAGGTCATCAATGGCGAGGGCTACGGCCGCAAGGCAGACATCTGGTGAGGCGCGCTCGTGAGCGCTCGCGTGTGTAAGGCACGAGATGTTAATTGCCTCGCCTGGTATGTAGGAGATCGTGCGTTCGATCCCGACCCTGACGCCTGCTGTATATTTGGAGTTTGCATGTTCTCTCTGTGGTCGGGTGGATTTTTTCTCCACGTTTAGAAACGTGCTTTTATAGTATTTGGCTGCTATACACTTCTACGGGATACGCCACTTCGAGCTATCATTTGTGACCAGGTAGCTTCTAAAATAGAGCTGTACAGCTCAGTGGGCCTTACCTGGTAAAATAAAAATTATTTATAGTAGTTTATAGTATTGTGTATATATCAAGTAGGCTTCCAATAATTGAGATAAGTCCTCAATTCAAATCGGTTCTTATACTGCCAATACATGTGTACGCGCGCCTTCCGGTGTGATGACGTCATGGGTAGTGACGTCATGCGCGCTGGGCGGGATGATGACGTCATGTCTCCTCGAGGTACTTAAGGGGGGACCCTGTGACGAAAGCGGGCTCACTGTGGGAGCCCGGGAAGGTGAACAGTGGAAGAGTGAACCAGGGGTAGGGCTCGAGGAGTCTGGAGAGAAGCCGGCGGTAGCGATAGGAGTGGCTGCTCTCCTCGGTCGGTCGGTGTTGGCTGATCCCCCGATCCGACTCAGAGGAGAGAGCCTGGGAGCTAGCCGAGCTAAGGGACAGACAGAGTGAAGGTCGGGGTGAAGAACCTAGTGCAGGACCCCTACCCCTGGGGAAGAGTTACTTTAACCCTTAATAAGTAACCGGCGTAAGCCCTTACACGAAGATCTGCCTCAGAGTCATTGTTTGCACCTCAACACGTGCATCGAATTGTGTGTGTAATTTGCGGTAGTTTGTATATTTTGAATGCGAGTAGTTCCGGTGACCCAAGCAGTGGCTTAGATGCGCTACATTTGCCAAAATAGAAAAACATATTCTTGAATCAAATTACTGTCCCTAATCGAAATAATTAATTGAATCAAAAGGTAGCATTAATTACGGCCCTAACATTTACTATCTACTAGTAGAGAACCCGTGACACTGAAGTATATGACAGGCCTTTGAAGTCGATATTGTATCCTGTAACAACAAATGCGTCTGCTTTTATGCATAGGTGAATGTGAAAATTTAATGAAAACAAATAATGTTTTTTGGTAACCAACGGAATTTTCAATGCTGAGACTGGTTTTATATTTAGTTGGGGTAGGAGCTGTTTAAATTTGTAACCAGGATTGGTCGCAGCTCCAGCTCAGAACTCTCGACACGCTCTTGTTCATTGACAATGCGGTGGCTCCTTTGATTTCGTGCGCGTGGCAGGAGCGTGGGCTGCACCGTGGTGGAGATGCTGACGGAGAAGCCACCGTGGGCAGAGTTCGAGGCCATGGCTGCCATATTCAAGATCGCCACTCAGCCCACAGACCCTCGGCTGCCCCTGCACGCATCGGAGCATGCGCGCGATCTTCTTCGCCGCATCTTCGTCGAGGCCAAGCTTCGTCCGTCAGCAGAGGATCTTTTCCGACATCCATTTGTCCACGTCCACTAAGCGGGGTGGTGGTTAAGCTGTGTGACGACGGGCGCTGGGACAGTAGTAGCAGCAGCAGCAGGCATTGCCGGTTCATCGAGTCCTCAAAATGACTTCAGCCTAAAAGGAACTCGCCTATGGTGCCATCATGTGCACCCACAACCATATTGAACATCATCATCAGCTCCTCAAGGGGCTGATTGGGCTGACTTGTTCATTGGATACTTTTTTGACTCATCCCGGAAAGACGTTTTTTTAAAATGCGCTATGATCCTCTTTGTAAGCCAAGGTCTACATTGCAAGCGGGAATTTAAGCTGAGTTCCTTCAATGGAAGTAATCATCAGAAATGTGTACTGTGTTTTGGATCTGCCAAAGTTTATCACCATTAAGAAGACAGCCACCTCCTAAGATGTGCTGGATTTAAATTGTTAGTCCACAATGCAGTACATGTTGAACATTTTGTGTCAGTTTTCTATGGAATGTCTTCAGCGGGGTTTGAAGAATCGGGTGCAGTTACAAAACTGCACAATGTGATTCATGTGGTATTTGATTGTGCAACTCAAACAAAATGGTAAGCCGTCACGTTTCTAAACCGAGTCGATTGCCAGCTGTTGTCACGCAGCCTCTACGTAGGTGGCGCTGTGTGTCAAATCGTCTGTTTTCTTAAGTGTGATGTAATATATATGGCCTTTCAAGCCATAGAAAAATACTGTCAAGTGCCCTACCATATAGCCACAAGTCCCGTTTACTGCTACTTGATTGAAACTTGATTTAATTACGAAGCCGGCCAGTGGATCTGTTGTCCATTGCGTATGTGCCTGCGGTTGCTGTATCAGTTTTCTGAAACATTAGCTGGCACAAATATAATTGGCCACAACTCGACAGCACTCTGCCAGGGCTGGGGACAGCAGTGCCACCCCAAATGCTACCGGTATTTCTTGTGCACTTTCAAAAAGGCCTGTACTATTTAAAGAAAGATAATTGACGTTTTTTTTGCTGCTAATGATTAATTTGATATCCTTTTTGTAATAGGGTAATTAAAAAAAGTTGGCTTTTTTATTGTAAATTTCTGTTTTTACATTAAATAAGATGCTGGAGGCATTTTTTTGGTACAGAATATAATTGAGACCACTTGTACAAGATTATTTAATTACCAAAACAAGCAGTGCTTGAACCCAAAATATACATTTGTGTTACTTTTTCTTCTACAGGTTTGCATGCAAACCAAGGATGGCTTATATTGCTGCAATTCGTATATACATTTCGTATATGTACCAATTGTGGAACTTTATTTCACAAGCTATTTTATACTGTCTTAGGAAGTGTTGTGTAAGTTGAGGTTGAGGACAAAAGCTTCTGCAGCTCGCACTGGGAGTATAAACCAACAGGGAGGTGGCCGTTGGATGTTGGTGAATGGCATAAGTGGCGTTTGGTATCGTGGAGTATTGGAATGAAAACCCAAGAAACACTTGATGCTCTAGCAAGCCGATTGAACTCTTCACCAGGTGGTGAAGTGTCGCTTGGCACCACCGATGGATAAACCAATCGCAGGGCACGCAGATAGCTTATGTGCAAACGTCTCGTGTTGTAACTTTTTTTTGTATATGTGATCAAACGTGACCTGGTTATTTCTGGTCTTGTACAAAGTGCCCCGCTGACCTTTAACTCAGTGCTCTGTCTGAGGCTGGTTATTTAAAAAAAAATGTTATCTGCAGTCAAGGCCGGTGCCTTGCCCATCAAACATTTATTTTTGCTGAGGAACGTTCTAACGGATAAGATCATTACCGCTTTTCGAACTCTCAAAGCCAAATGGCGTGATCATGAAAAGGTTTTCGGTATTGGTCAACATCAAAATGAAAGTGCTGCTTTGCGTTTATTGAACGTTATGCAACATCGCTATAAGAGCAAAACGTCATATGCAAACGGGGCTTCAGGTGACTTAATGAATATCGAGGGACCAAGTTATTGAGTGGCAGATACTCATGTAACCTTTGAACGAGGTCAGTATGCATTTGTATCCAGGTTGTCTGTGAATTTCATCCAATATATGAACAATGACAATATTCATATACAATGACAATATTAATATATTGTCACAATATTCATATATTGTCATTGTTGCCAGCTAGCACCCACAACTATTTTTTTGCATTCTTGCCATAGCTTCATCTCTTGAGTGCTGTACACAACCAAGTGTGCCACATACATTTACTTCAGTTTTGTAATTTTCTTCTGTTAAAACTTGACTTGCACTGAAGCCCTGGGTGTACCGAGTGATGATGTTCATTTCTGCAGGCAGATTCTCATATTTTATCTTGATGCATCCAGTCTGCATGCAGTGCTCCGAGGACAGCCTCTCATATAACAAAGGTGGAATCCATTTAAATAACGTAAAGCACAATTAAAACAAACCTTGGAACGTGCTCTCTCCTTAGCACAAGGTACAGAGTGATGTTTGTGGTACGACCATGTTGAAATGCATTATGTTCATTCCTTTTCATATACAGTGCTCTGAAAGGAAAACATTAAACCGTATGCAGTTTTGATTCATTGACTAAGGCTGTCTGCAAATTGGTGCTCACCTGGGGCTAAACATTTCCCCATGACTTGACTGAGAATTTGTATCTCTCGTCTGCATTTTAAAATGAGAATAATGCTAATTCCTTCCAAAGATAAAGAATTGAGATTTTGAGCTGAGAATTTTTTTTAAACGCACTTCAGCCCCTTCCGTTCTTTACATTTGATGTGTGTATTGTTTATGTTATCCCTACAGGTGGGATAGGGAAAGGGTGAGATGGCAGGTAAACAGTGCCTTCTGCTGCAGCCTTGCCTTACATTCCAACCGTGGCTGCAAGAAACGTTAATTGCATTGTAACCTGATGAATCACAAGCAGGTGTCAACTGCACATTTCCTCTCGTGACAGTGCCTCCTTAAAGGTGCCCACGTATTGTTTCTCTGGTGATCTGGGCTTTATTTGTATACCATTGTATTTATGATGCTAAATTGATCATTATGCCTGCAGTGCAGTCAGTAGCTCGGCTATGTTGTGTTTAGGGCTGGCTCTTCCCATCTCTCTAGAAGGAGCTTTGTCCTTTCGGCGCAGTCGTTGCTCAATAGAGGAATACTCATTGAGCCACGCTCTACTCAAACCATGTTTGTGTGCCCGCAAATACGTGTGTTTATATGAGACTGGATTTTAAAAAATGTAATATATTTTATAGACTTAAAAATATATATAATGAAATCAACCCCTTGGTATTGTAAGTATTACAACAGATTATAAATGATATTCTTTGGGTCTTTCGGTAAAGCCACGTAGATAGAAAAATAAAATTATCACGACGTTTCGATCGCAACACAAGCAATCGTCATCGGGTGAAAAAATATAGCGAGAGAACTGCCGAGGCAGGAGAAAAAAATTCTAAATTATAGGACACCACATTGTAAATTTTATGCACCGGGAGTTCATTTCGCATTTCTGCATAGGATTGCACTGCAGCACTTGATGAGCGGCCTTGTAGAAAAAAATCTTGGGATTCAATTCTATCAATAGGGGATATAAGCAAGCAAAACCTTAGTAGTCAGCTGAGCAGTCGGCGATGGGTTTGGAAGTTGATGCTAAATATGATTTATTCAAAAGTCTTCATTCACTGTGCACCGTTTTTACACCCCGATGGTTAATTTTTCAACGTTTATTGTCTGTCGTCTATAAAGTGAGTTTCGGGAAATACATTTTAGCATTGTGCATATTGTTTTAAGATTCAGTGGACATTCCTGAGACTCGCAGATAACCTCTGTGATGCCTTGGTACAGGGCATGGGAGAGATTTTGGTTGGAGTTTGTGTGTGTTCTGTGAGAGGTACCGGGTGGTGGTGGCTTCGGAATATCCAATTTACAATACCAAAAATAAACTGCCCGTACAACATGTGCTCAAAACAACTGATCAATGACAAAATATGCCTAAAGTGACAAAGGGGAGTGGAATATTTTTCTTAAATGAACAATTGGAGCTGAAATGGAGCACATGGTACTCTAACGAGACAATTACGAACCAGTGACACACTGGGTCACAGCTTGCAACAAATGTTCGTGCCAGTGAACACACTGTGCGATCGGTGGGGTGAGGGATGGGGTAAAGTGTATTGGTACAATTCATCTTTAAAGCCCTTGCCAACCATATCTGTATTGCTCCCTAGCCCATGTGCCACATGCCCACAGCTACACAGCAACGACTTGCCAACTTAAACTGTCATAAGGCATTCAGTCTCGCCTACTTGACTATGGATACTCGGCATGTCCACTGAATTGGAAATCGTTTGACCATTGAATAAAATGTTATCTGTAGCAGAGGGCTCCCAAATCCTCAATGCACTGACTGTTTTTTTTAAATATAACTTGCATATCTTCCTCGAAGTAGATTTTGCTAAGGCGCGCATATTGATTTTTCTGTTATATCAAAATAGTGTATCTATGACACATTTGGGGGTATGTTTCTGTTGCATACTTTCTTGTCTTGGAGGGGGGGGGGGATGTCGGTTCTGCATTTGACATTAACCTATGCAGCCAACTGCATTACATGCGAGTCATTGTTGAAACAATGCATCAGCAGGTTTATCCCGGATGTTTGAAGCCAAGTGTTAATAAAAATTCTGGCAGGACGGCCTTTATGGAAAGTTTATTCCTGATGAATTTTAACATGCTTTGTGGTCGCAAATCCCATTATGCAATGAACACATGGTTGCAAACGTTCCCGGTTTAATTTTCAAGCTACGTCCCCGATACAAAATGTTCTTGAAAGTGATTTTTTTAATCAGGGCTCATTCAAAAGGTGGCGGTTGCCCAGAAGGTTATTGTGTACAGACATTATTTTGATAATTTCGAGAGAGAAAGAAACATTAAAATGCATTTTGTCCGGTTGAGTATTTAGTGAATCCTGCATATCCTAATACTAATAGGGTTTTTCCCCTTTTTTCTGGCAACAAAACTTTTGCAAGGAATCATGCTTACATGAACCACAATACTTGCAGTCAAATGCAAACAAAAAACAATACTCTGATAATTTATGCATTGTCTTTGAAACTGATTGGTCCACACCAGAGACGGCTTTCTTTGGAGCCTAGTCTCATGGTGTTCGACCAGATGACGCCAAAAGGCGCACAGTTCAAAGACAACGCACCGACACAGTAGCAAGCCTCCTGGCTCCTAGACTCTGAATTATATTTATTCAGAAAACCCTCGTGTAACAAGAATATTTAATGAATATCTTCAATTGGGATGTTCGGTCTATCGTGTATTTAACTAGTGTTTTGCCCGTCGGATAAAACCAAATTTCCCAGATAAAATTCGCACACGAGGGGATTACGCTCAAAGGTCCACACAGATGGATTTATAAGCAGACTTGCCGTGGCTGCCAACTTTTGGTTGTCTCAAAACCCAGGAACTTTTGGGAGTTTACTAAGTCTCTGCGTTGGCCCACTTGACCTTTCTTCGAAAGCACTGGTTCACATGCGTATATGCCACCCTCGCGAGAATGTTCATCTCCAAATGAAATCATCTTAAACGTGTGTTCACTGGAGTTCGCTCTCCTGCTTCGTGGTGGCACCTTGCTTGAAGGATCACAATCCGGAGCTGGAATTACTTTACAAAGAGTTGGCCATGCAGCGTGCTGACGAACAACCAGACCTCGTGAGAAAAGTCTCGCCAATTTCTGTGCGGTGCGAAAGAAGTTCGACATCGCGCATACAACCTCAACGAGGTTTTTTTCCCCCCATCCTTTTGCGAACGCGACTACCACTTGGTGGGAAAAGCACAAAGTCGACGTGACGTATTTGACGGCATTCCCAGTAACGTCACACCTTTAAGATCGTTCTGAAGTAAATATGTTTTTAATTCATTATATTTTAATTTTTTACTAATAGAAATCACCAGCACACATTTATATTGAAAGCATATTAATGGAAGAACGATCTCGCCAAGCCACTGAAAACACATTTTGTGTTTATTGACATTGGGTGCAAAGAAGATAGCCGAGTGTGTGTCGAAGCGAGTCTTCGACACTTCACGTGGCCTCAAAGTGCACCTTGCCTGGCACAGGCGCCGTGGTGACGTCACCTTCAATGAGTGGTGAATAGCGGCTATTGGATATTATTGGTGTGTGTGGGGAGCAGTCGTGTAGTGGTTAGCGCACTGCGTTCCGAACCCGCCGGCGAACCAAGTTCGATTCCAGCTGACGGCCAACAACAGTGACGATTTTCTGAACCGGTCCTAGGTCGACTCGGCCTCAAATGAGGATCTGGTGCGGTGAATAAAAACATCGCCAATGCGGAAACGGCCGGGCGTGGTACAGGCCACCCACCCCCTCGTGTGCCGTGCCGGTCTTCATAGCTGCTACTCGCTAACAGAACTTGGTCCCAAAAGTGTTAAGGCAATAAGGGGGGGGGGGGGGGGGGTCTTTGTCTTGTGTGTGTGTGGGGGCATTTGTCTTTTTTTCTCTCGTTGATCGTGCAAGCGTCAGCGGATCGAGGGTCAAGAGATGTGCCAACCATGGGACTCGCCTGGGCATGTTGGTGGAGTCACGTTGTGCGCTCGTGTATAGTTTCAGTAGGCGCGCGCGCGCGCTACAAGTGCCCGCTGGGGAACGTGGGCATGTTTGGTGTTTCGGTGTTCCGTTTCATAATCTGCCCTCGCACATCGGGGTTTGAAGGCCAGCACGCGGCAATGTCGAATTATGCAACGGTCCGATATAAGTGGCAGCGGTTTTGGTTAAAATGTCACAAAGAACCATAGCGTCCTGAGCATCTATATATATGCATTCCAACTTAATTAGATTTTCAGGATTTTGCGGTGGGATTTCAGTGCTAAAATTACTGACAAACATGAGTTTGATATAATTTATGCTTTTTAAAGGGGCATGCAAAATCAATTTCACCAGTATTGTATAGTTGGTGGTCATTCATATTTAGCATACACTTGTGAATTATAGCACGGGGTCAGAGATGGCACCACTTGAGACCCTGGGTTCGAATCCAGGTAGCACCGATGAATAAAGTTGCGTCTCAAGTGTGATGAGTTTATGGATTCGGCACGGCCATTAATGACTGCACAGAAAAGCACCACAGGAACGTGCAATACAAACAGGATAGACCACAAAATAAAGACAAGTCGCAACTGTCGATGCACCTTTCTGACCAATTGCATTCACACACAATCGGCACGTTCTGTTTACGTGACAAACATTTACTAATTTGATGTGTCGGGTGGTGGCGAGTTTAACGACACATTTACACGATCTAACCCCCCCCCCCCCAAAGCTTGTATTGTTACACTATATTTAGCCTCATTAACGCGGCATTAATCAGAATAAGTGTATTGAGCTGTAACAGACCTTTTTCAAGGGTGATTGCCAGCAGACAGACGCGGCTGCAAGTGCTAATATACTTCTAAAATATTAAAACATGAAGTAAATAAAACCAAATGGCCTTTAAAAAATTACGAAAATTCACATTTGTATTGTTTCGACCTCAATAATGTTTGTTTAAAAGGGTTACAGTGATGGCAGAGCGGTGATTCCCAGAGAGAGACACCAGGGTCGGTTCCAAAACTTTAAAGCAGCAGCTACATGAAACGGTTTTGAACCAAGTTGCGTACGAAATCTGGGAATCGTGAGCAAACAGAATCAGAATATTTATACTGGAGGAATCCGATGAGCTATAAAGCTCTTTTTCATAGATCCAGTAAGAGCGGGTAGGAACGTTAATACAACAATAAACAGTAAAAAAACAGTGCAAAGTACATGAAGGTAAACAAATAACCCAAACGCATATCAATAAAACTAAACCATCCCCATCATACCAGGCAAAGCCCACAGGTATTAACTTATTTTTCAGAAGCGACCTGGCCACAAATGATAGCTCGACAAAGTGTTCCATCATTTGGACATTTATAGCACCAAAATTAGCTAAATAATCTTCATGCATGTTTCTTTATGTGGAGGGAAACACCGAGGGGGGAAAAAATCAGACACGTGTCGCAGATTTTTTTTGGAGGGGGGGGGGGTGTGGGATTTTGTAACGGCACTAATAAATCCGATCGATAAAGTGGAGGGTCCGGGGGGGCCTGTGAGGCCATGTGGCCTTGTAGTCATGTGGTCAGCGCCAAAGTGCACCGCAATTCAAACACTGTTGGGGCCACGTGCTCGCGTCCTCGGCGCTCGAGCCAGAGTGGCACCACAGGTGCGACGGGCGCATTGCCGACGGGTAAAACGCACGTGGGACACGGGGCGGCTTTGCGGTTGTGTCAACAGTTGGCCTTCACGTGGCCCCCCCTCTCGCCCGTCTCCACCGCCGCCGAACACGCGCCACCTCACGGAGCGTCTGTTCGTAAGGAGGGACAATGACCGTTGGGGCAGTCCGGTGTGAAGTGTTATCAGAATGTTTAGACTGGAAGAAATCCGAAGTTCTTTTTCACAGATGTCCGGTTGCTGACGCCATTCCTGGCTGGAAGAGCCTTCCACTTGGCGATGCCCTTTATAGAGGCACCTCGAGCCAACCGCTTCCATTTTAGAGCCACCCACACTTTACCCCACCAAACGCGACTCTGCCGGTCGACGTGAACCCTGGCCATTCCCATTTGTCCTGTTGGGCGAAGAGAGGCGGGCGAATTTGAGGAAATTCGCCCATCGATTCAACTGCCGCACCAGGAGATGGAATCAAAGCCGGGAGCTCTGGATCGCAAGTTTTTCGCACGAACTGCCGAGCGCTTTACGGCAGCTGCTCGTGTTTAAAGCGCATTCCTTTCTTCGGCGATTCGAGTCGATTGACTCAGTCCAGTAGCCGATAACTGTTTTAAAAAATGTGTACAACGTTAACATCACACACGGAGGGTAATCGCGCACATTGCACAGCCCTTTAGTCAATCCACTGCCCGATAAGGGCCTCGCCACGCCGTGCGGTCATGACCTCACTTTGCCACGCTTGTCCGTGTGGGTTGGTGAAGGCGTGGAGCGTCGGTGTTGAGGCATCATAGTACGGTACAATAGGCTTTGCTGCGCCTGCCCTATGCTGACAACGTCGCCCCACAGTGGCTTGCGCCACAGGTTAATGCGTGGTCACCCACTCAAGCACGATCCGGGCTCGATAGTGCCTAGTTTTAGATATGAGTTGGGCGCATTTCTAATGATTTGGTGATAGGCAATTATGAAAGCAATGTATTCAGGATAGTATCAATGAATCTGAAGGCTATTTTTCAGGTGGTTTCTGCAATGACCGGGATATTTGCCCAGTTGGTTACTGAATATATCCATAATGTACATGAAGGAGATATTCTATGGATGGGTCCCAGATTTTCAAAAAATGAATCTGTTTAATCTGAACATCGAGTTTAGATACAAATTTCAGGCGATCGAAATATATGTTCAGATCAATCTAAAAGCGTGACGTCACATGTTTTATGACGTCACTTCCATGTTTTCCTCACCAAAAGTGATGTCACTTGGCACTGAGTGGCATAACCGATGTTAGAACCCGGGGCATTCAGAAATTAGTACGCAACGATATGATGCCAAAATCTGATAAAGATCTGAAATTGTCCTATAAAATCGGGAATGTTTTAATCAGAACCTCGTGCCCAATACAGATGAAGAGTTAAATACACATTGGGCCAATGCGCATTTGGTGTATGGGATTTTGGTTTCGTCGTTTCGGTGGCAACAATGGCTGGTGCGCGCGTGTGGTTTTATTAAAACAAAACAGGGGGAATGTGGCAAAGCAGACGCAGATGTGAGAGGGGTATATAGTTTTACTGAAAAGTCATGGGTGGGTTTTTTTTTTGGCAAACGATTATGGACGTACGCACAAGTGCGTACGTCCATAATGATGTCCGTCGATGGAGACATACAAAAAACTAATTTACACGTTAAAAGAATAAATTTCGATTTAAAGCTTTCTTGATTGCAGGGATTCATCTTATTGGTTCTTTCGGTACGTGACTTTACCGAAAGAACCAAGAAGGTCAAAATAATAGTTGACCAGCCCGTTGTCAATCCATTGCAGGATAAAAGACTGCCCCACCGTGGCCTGGTCATGAGGCTTCATTTGACAATGCTTCCCAATGCTGGTTAGTGCAGGTTCGTGAAGGGCCGGGCACCCAGGAAGCGGTTTCGGATATCATTCACCGCTGATGTTAAAATGTGGCCCGAGGGCGAGCTCGGGCGAGTGTGGTAACCACTGTGCCACTGGCTCCAAAAAGTTTGAATGTGTGCACGTTTAACTTATTTCACAGCGTACGTAGCCAACCGTGCTATTCGGAGGTGCAGGTGAAGGACATCAAACTTAACAACAACAACAACCAAAAAGCAGTTCGAAAGAAATGAGTTTTCAATCTAAAGTTAAAATTGCGTATCTCCAGTGACTTCTTAATGTTGGAAAGAAGAGCGTTCCAGACGGCCGCAGAACCACATCTGAAAGCGTACGATGCGCTCGATGGTTAACCACAAGCCAGTTGCGAGGATGACCGGAGTTTGCGTGATGGTTTATGCTCCTTGAGATCAGCAAGGCATTGTGGTTCATGTGTGGCAATAACTTTCGTGTGTAATGAGTGCAACCTTATAATGTATTCGTTCGGCCATCGGAAGCCCATGCAGCTTTGCGAGCACTGGACGAATATGGTCTCATCTTGCAGTATCTATCACGAAATGTGCCAAAGAATGTTGTACACGCTACAGCTTGGTAATGTTTTTTTGCCAGATGTGCCGTAGAGTAGTTAGCTTGCAATAATAGCGCCTTGTCGATACTATGCTATTATGCTACATCTCACGACTCAATAGTGGTCGAATGTGTCGTAGAGCCCTGATAGTGACAGTTGCAAGGACCTGACTAGATTTTTGCACGTGGTGATTAAAAAAGTGTTCTGGTCAACTTCACTCCGGTGTACAATTGTGTACCATCGGCAAATTGATGGAACTTGATGTCACGAGATGAGATGACATCGTCGATCGGAGAGACGCACGTTGAAAAATTGGAGGGGGCCCAAGGACCGACCCCTGTGGTCCACCAACTCGGCACGGCACAGGCAATGACTGTTCATTATCCAGCTCGACCACGTAGGTATGACTCGATCCACCCAAATTCTGTACCAGTAGCTGCTCGATAAGTATCTCGCGGTCGACGGTGTCGAAGGCGGCTGAGAGATTGAGGCCAACCAATGCTGCGGCGCACCGGTCATCCGTGATCTTGTAGGGGTCATCCGTGATCTTGTAGGGGTCATCCGTGATCTTGTAGGGGTCATACGTGATCTTGTAGGGGTCATCCGTGATCTTGTAGGGGTTATCCGTGATCTTGAGTAGAGCTGTCTCAGTGCTGTGGAACTTCCCGGCACACCGACTGCAATGGGTTGAATCTGCCCGCCGCAGCGACCTGGGGCAGTAACAGCTGCACACAAAGGTCTCTCAATGACCTTTGGAATCGTACTCGGGTTTGAGATCGGCCGATAGTTTGTGAGGTCACTATGGCTCTTTTCAGGAGCGGTGTTGCCTGCACTAATTTGGACCGGTCTGAGAATCAGCCCTCGCTAAACGAAAGATTTGCCAGGTGAACAATCAGTGGCGCGGCCACGTCCGAGCATGATTTGAGAAACGACGGTGTGGATATCGTCGAGTGGCGGTGCCTTATTTGGCAGCCGTGCGATGAACGTCAACACCCTCTGCCATCAACGTCGGTGCCAGGGTCTCGCGTTTTGCATTGGTTCCAAGTTGATGGAACTCAGATGGCAGGCAGGGAGAATGCGTCATCTTCAAGTGGTGTTCACGACCCCAATAATTATCTGCTTCCTTCCACGATCTCAGAAAAAAAAAGTTGAGACTCCAGTGTACATGTGTGTGATGTGTGTGATTGTAGAGACATTCTGACCAGCTGTTGATAGAAAACGCTTCTGATTTTTTTGAGCCATTAGCACGTACATTTCTTATCGATACCACCCGCGGTGGCAAATGCTAACACCAATAGTTTGTGACACCTTTATCCGTAGTCACAAACACGCTCTGATAGCAAGGGCACAGTGGTAGCTTGTTATGAGAATATGGTTGCGCATATCTTTTTGGAAAGAAAAAGAAAACCCGAATGTGTACATAAAACCGAGGATAGACACGTGGCGGCCACTGCCCATGGTGCACACACCCAGAGCATTTGTCACCCCAGGTGGGACCTACCACTCCGGTTGTCCCATAGGCCTGTGTCGCATGCGAAAGATCCAAGTCAAATTTCGATTTAAAGCTTTCCTGACTGCAGGGATTCATATTATTGGTCCTAATGAACACTGCCAAGCTTAGCAGTGTTCATTAGGACGCTGTCTTTCCGACAGCTCTGTTCTTCACCTGAGGACGTCTGCTTGCGTTGTGGCCGAAACGTCGTGAGCATTTGTATTATGTTTTATTTTAATTATTTTATTAGATCCAAGTCAGGTCACCTGAGCACGTGTTTGCCTATAGAGTTACCATTTGAAGTAAAAAGTGCTACCTGTAAGGTAGACCTATTGAACTATGGCATCTCAAACTTCAGCCCTCACCATCCCAAACATAGCTCCTGGTCAATCAGAACAGAAGAATCTGAATCAGAGTATGTATTTATACCCGAGGAATCCGATGAGCTGTGAAGCTCGTTTTCACAGATGTCCAGCGGGTAAGAAAGTTACGACAACAAACAGTACAGAAACACGATAGGAGTGCAAAGTATAAGAAATATAAAAAAAAAACATTACTCAAACACTTACAAATAAAACTAATCCATCCCCATCCGACCAGTCAAAGCCCACCCATGCAACACGTGATGTGCAACGACCGTTGTTGAAATCGGGGAAACTCAGCAAGTGCGGAGAGAAAATCCAGTGGTCGTGATGTGTGGACCTGAGTTTTGGAATGCAACTGTGATGGGAATGGTCTTATAATGACGCCCATTACATATGGGTCAGCTTGCTGGTTCTGCGACAGATGGCTAATTTTTTTATTTAAAGCTTTCGTGACTGCAGGGATTCGTCTTATTGGTTCTTTCGGTAAAGTCACGTAGAAGGGAAATAATAAAAATAAAACATAATAAAATAATTCTCATGACGTTTCGGCCACAACGCAAGCAGCCGTCCTCAGGTGAAGAACAGGTCTGTCGGAAAGACAGCGTCTGAATGAACACCGCCAGGCTTGGCAGCGTATATTTAAGCTGGGTTGGAGGGGGAAGAGCGCCTTGACAAAGGAATTTGGATATCAAGAGGAATTTCGCATGGCTCATTCTCTGCTGCTGCTGCTGCCCCCTCCACAATCTGAAACGAACTTCCCCCAGGCGTCTGTGCTGCCGGCTCCTCTGCCCCCCCGCCCCCGCCGTCTTAAGTCCAAGCCCTTCGTTGTTTGACTAAATAAAAATTGTGCAATGGTATTATCAGTGGGAAGGATGTCACGGCGGGGGGGTTTCGCATAGTTCCACCTGACGGGTGCATTCTCGTGACGTTGATCGAAGGTGATGATGGTTGTTAGATCCACGGAGCCCTTTTGGCAGGGTTGCAGGGCTGCCTCGGGGCGATAGGCAGCAGGACGGGAGAGTTTATATTCGGCAGTTTGCAAAATGCATTGAGGTCAAATGAACGTCGGTGAACAGATACTCAAGCTATCCGATTATCCATGTCAACAGCGAGGCAAAGCGATGAGACCTCCACTCGGGATTTCAGCTTCGCTTTATTTGCTTTATACAGTTCTTTTATACGCTGCGTGTGTGCGTGCGTTTGCGTGCGCATGCAGATTCCGTGTGGCTATTGCTGAAGCACGGCACAGAGTTTCACCTGGAGCTGATTGATCACTGGGGCCTCCGTGGCCGTGATGCGGTTGTCAGGTTCAGGAGTGCGTTTGGCCACGCAAGGACATATCACTATTTCACCGCGGCCCTTACGAGCCGAGGGAAACGCCGACCTCGATATAAAGCGAACGGAGGAATATCCCCTTCAATCTCGAGCATGGTATGTCTATGTAAGTTTGCATGAATTATATTAATAATAAAAGTAAGAATTCACTGCTTTTCTGTCAGTGCCGGTTGGTGAAGGGGGTGGGGTCCAGGATCGGTTTCAGTATCACTCGCCACCGATGTTAGCCGTGTGCTTGCAAGTATAACCCGTGAATGTTGAAGTGATTTGAAACACATCCAGATGGAAACAAAGAACCAAAACGCGTGCAAAGAAGCACGGGGAGATGCACGCATGTAGTCGCGTTGAGAGACAGAAAATGTAACTTGGGCTGGAGAACATTTTTCCGGCTAAATGCATCATGAAAACTTGAAAGCAAATATCTTCTTCTTGTTCGTCCATCAAAGTTGATGATGACCATGGCACGTTTGTCATTTTGTTGGGTTTTGATGAGTGCGCAGATGGCTGAAGAGGCCAATCCGAGCCCGGAATTCCCTGTGGCACACTGGACAGGTCAGGGAGGATGTAGAGCTCTGAGGTGCAGCCACACGTCCTTCCTTGGTAGATTTGCGCTGCTGCCTCTTCAAGATGGCACAGGAGCGTCTCCTACTCTCACAGAGGACTGCACCGTCCTGTACTTTTCTTCTCCAGGCAGGTCGGTCCTGTGCTAGGGATTGCATCATGAAAACTTGAAAGCAAATATAGCGGGGCAGAGGATGACACGCCGCTAGAAGGGACGATGACAGATGGTCGAGACCAATGAAGGAGTGCAAGTCAAGGGCACGAACGCGCCTTGAGAGAACATCTACCAGGGTGGGATTGAGCGATGACACCGGCTGGCGATGAAACTGACTGGGGGCATTCATCCAGCAGTGGATTGATCGTGGCTGCCGACGATGACTGCCTTAACGAAGCCGAGTAAAATGAGGTGATTCGCTCGTGCGCATTTTTCAGAGATGCTTTCTCTTTTTTTTTACCGACGCACTCCGGACCGAAACACTCGAATGCAGATCCTAGTAAATCCAGATGACTCAGACATTTTTATTACATCATACGTTCATAATAAAGGTTGCTGAAAGGCCACAATTGAGTTGTGGGAAAGAATAACACTGATCACGAGGCTATTGTGCAAGGAGGATTATGGCAAAACATCAAAAACATTGCCCGTGCGTTTGCCAAATCAAAACCACGATCTGGGGCTCTTTGCATTCGGCCATCGCCGCAATAGTGTGTGCATAGTCTGGCTGCCAAACCTCAACGACACCCATGAGTCCCCGCACAGTAAATTTCAAGGGACACGCACACACACACAGATGACACAGATGATGACACACGGACACGTACAGGAGATGTGCCATTGTTGTTGTTGTTTAGGCATGTTGGTTATCATCAGCCATCATGATCAATCCGCTGCTGAATCAAGGCCTCTCGGCTGTCGCCATCTCTCATTACCGCTAAGTAACAATTTACCGAGCGTCTGCGCGCCAGATGAATCCTCTGCTCCAACTCCTCGGTAGTAATCTGTCAAGCTGTCAAGAGGCATTCATTCATTCATTCACACACGAGTGTAGTGAGCGACTTACGAGACACGGCGTGTAGAGGGCTTCTTCTTATTTATTCTCACACTGGGCACAACACAGGCCGATACACGTATATACACGTCTCCTCTCACTGGGCACAATACTGGGTAATATATATATATAGTCTCGACTTTAGCTACGCACAGCCGACCTCTCTACATCGTCCCATCGCCTACATCAAACCACACGGCTGACTGACTGGTGTGACGATGACGGCGATGGGTGCCGTGCGGAGGATCTTCCATGCGGCCGGTCGACGGAGAGAGATGACGGCGAGCAGTGACGCAGCCAGGATCCAGGACCCCGCAATAACAACCCTGAACCTGCGGTTCCATCCCCCTTATATACCTCTCGGCGTGGCCAAGCCCCGCCTCTGGCCACGCCCCTTTCCAGAACCTTCGAGCAGATTCCCGGAGCTTCCCGACTAACCCCACTGTTTACCTTTAACCCAGATACACCCCCTTCTGATTGGTTGTTACATAACCTTGCCCATACCCGTGATTACCCTTCCAGATCGACAGGTGGCACCTTGTCATTACACATGCATATAAATCTCGATTCAAAACTCGTTTCTTTAGAACTGACTTTTGTGTTTCAGCTTCGCTTCCATTTATCATCCACATGCCATGACAATAATTGAATAATGGGCCAGAAGTACATATGGACTACATTTGGAATCCCATCACCCGGGCGATCTGCTCCATTGTCGAGAGATGGAGACAATCTGCGCGATTTTGCCAAACGTCGACGAGAAGGGGGCATCCAGCACCTCCGATTTAGCACGGTTGGCTATGTACGGTGGTGCGAAAGAAGTTCAACACACGTACGTACGTACGTACATTTACCAGCACGTGAATCTGACCCAGTAACTATAATCAGAAGCATCGCTCTCCGATGGACTTTTTTTCGGTTGAAGGCGCTCCCTGGAGTGGAAATGTCCATGTGGCCCGAAAACTGATTCAGAGAGATTGCGCAACACCATCGCGGCCACCGACGTGGTAATTATAATCAGTGGCATGAGGCTATTCCCAAACGAGAGGTGTAACGATGCATATAGATGTCTTCATTGATATTTAGAGTTCAACCCAAAGCCCACTGGGTTGACTCAAGAGAGTAGCGTGCTGGATGAGCACCGATAAATACCCCTGGGGTTTGTTGAAGTCAGTAAAATTTGCCCGTGATTGAACCGGGCTCGGCCAAGGACAGCAAGATACTGGGTCTCAGCCTGGTCACCAAATGCCCGCACAAAATCGACGTCACGTAACATTTTTTGGTTGCGCACTTACTTTTTTTGCTGAATCTGACGCTGATAATTAAACATGTCAGGTTTAAGCCTCACGTGCCAGACCTTTACGTCTCTGTGGCAGGGCGGGTGGGAAATTGCTGCCCCATAATGTGGATAAGAGGTCGCTTAAAGAGATTTCAGAAACTGTTCTGTGGCATCCAGTTCTGCGGACCTCTCTCTAACACGGGGCGATGTACTCCTCTGAACGAGTGCCTTCATGGATTCTCGTGACGCGATGCCAACTGCACGCTCGGGAAAAATAATTAGAGGAAAGTGCAAATTTATGTTTACAAAATAATGATTAAGCTCGTGATGCAATGCATCAAAGCACTTGAGTAAGAATGTATATCGTTTGATTCATGTAGGTTGTGTGTCACAACATTAATGACCTCTGCATCCACGAGTGGCCACCATATCCCCCGCCATGCAGTCACAACTCTATTCCGAATCATGATGCTGGGCAGAGAGAGAGAGAGTCTTCACTGCAAGTTGACAATTAGTAAATGTAAAAACATGTTCAAATGATGATCGTGTAATCTCCAACTATAAAGTATATCAAATTCTCAGCGCGCGCTTTCTCTCTCTCTGTGAAGAATATCCATTGCTTGAAATGTAATCCTCCTCTGTTCCTCTTGTGCGTGCACTTGTGCACATGCCCAGCCCTTATGCCAGTCCACTGCTGGATGACGGAACCCCCCACGCCACGTGGCCTATTTGACCATACTTCACCAAAGTGGTCATTGCGGGTTGGTGACAGAGGGGAGTACAGACGTGGGCGCATACAAGTGCAGTACAACAACACAACTTCGCTCCACTTCCCTCTGCTGACCACCACGTAGCACAAGCCCCCCCCCCCCCCCCCCCGGTGACCGTTTAGAACATTCTGGCATGCATAGTCGTCATCCCTTCCAATCAGTAGCCGGGCTCGACTCTGATTCGCTGTTGAGCTCTTGCGAGATGGGATGCTTTGCAGGCGACTCGGCCGTTGACGCCTCTTGCTCCAAGGCAGCGTTGGACAAGGCGAGGCGGCGAGTGTGAATGAGTGTGGACGCTCAGGTGAATGAAGTTTGTTTTTGCACAGAGACGTGGGCCGTGTGGGCCATGGGCGCCCTCTGATTGGCTGTGGTGGTGTTTTCAAAAGTAAATCATGTAACAAAGCAGCACATGGCTGAAACTGCCAGTGCAGTGAAATGTAACTCACACGCTGTAACATATCTACCCTGCAGGGCATGTAGTCGGGATAAGAATGATTTTCTTCTTAAAATAAACTAAACTACTCCCCCCGCCCCCCGCCAAAAAGACCGACTCACTTCTTTCACGTACGGTTTATTGAAACCTTGCAGCCCAACGGAACACTTATTGCCCAATGCATCACGTAGTAAGAATGCACACACGGTGATGATGATTGGCGTGTGGGAAAACACTCGACGCGCATTGAACACGTTTGAGAAAAAGGGCAAACCAAGCGGCATCATTTGAAAATTTGATGAAAATTAACCCCCCCAAAAAATAATGCATTGCACCTGGTCGTGACTTAGTGGAATTTGGTGGCGCGTACGAAGATCAAATCCTCGCAAACGATGCCAGCGTGCATTGGGATAACGGGACCCAAAGGGACCCCCACTGTGGTTGATGGAGCATTGTCGGCGAGCATGCGGGGTCCCCACGCCTTCACCGTTCTTTATTCTTCAGCCGCGAGTCGCGGGGGGAGATAAGCGCTCGATGTTGTGATCGGAGGGGGGAAGCGTTGCACTGCGACGAAGGATGACACGGGCCGCATCGATGGGTGCTCATTTTTTTATTATGACAGCGGTTCTAAGTCATTTCTCGCACGCCCGCGCGAGTTTTAAGTTGTCGTCGTCGTCGTCATCATCGCCACCGTCATTGTCGTGACGACTCCCGGTGTCATTTAGCAAACTGGAGGCAATTTAGGAGCGGTGGATCACGCGAATTTGTGGAACTCCCCAACTCGCTGGACTACGTGCGAGGTGGCCAGTAAAAAAAAAAAGCAAACGGATTTTTGATTTATTCTGCGCGAAGCTTTGAACACATTCTGCCCTCAATGCTATGCGTGCGTTTTCTCCATCTGTCCTGGTTTCCTTCCAACATCACAAACACTAATTCCTGGAATTGTCCGTACATTACAATACAGGACCCTCGTGAAATAAAGAGTCTTCGAGGCTCTCGGAGATTTTCCTGGATAAAGGGCATTATTATCATCACCATCGTCAGACTCGCAAATCCTTTCATAATAAATAGGCTCAACATTTTTTTGTTCGTTTGAAAAAAAAGTCTGTGGCCCTGTTGAAATCATTGCGTTAATGGGATTTCGCACCCAAAAATTACGCAAGCTCACACACGCGCACAAAGACCCCTTGTAAGTCTGGAGAGTTTTGTTGGCGTGAGATCGTGTTGGTAAGCACCTCTTAAGGTCAGCGTGCTTCTAAACGGTGAGCGTGCCAGCCTAAGGCAGGTGCAGACAAAATATCCAATACCTTTAAAAAAACTCATTAAGTGCATCCAAAATTGTGAACTTCAGTAAATTTAATTAAACAAGAAATTATAACCAGACCAGAAATAAAACCTAATTAAAATCGTATTATTCCACTGGGCTACATTAGTATAGCTTTATAGGTAATACTAGCAATTAAAATACACACACACATGTATATAATAAAATATTACCACAGTGTGGCATTGATATTCCTTCGACAACGTGTCCAGCTTCCTCAGTCCACCCTAAGCACATTTGTGACCACGACCAAACGTCAGCCGCTAATGTGAGCGGTCACGTGGGATCTCGCAAGCTAAGCTGGTCCAGAGCCTGGTTATGACTTGAATGGGTGACCAGCAAAAGAGCTTGCCCAGGTTTTACAGGCATGGGACTGCAAGGGGCTCAGGAGATGACAGTGCTGAGTTGTCCTCCTCTCGTTTGCGTGGTGGGGTTTTCTCCGTCTTCTCCAGCGTCCTCCCACGAGAAGCCACATATTTTTTAAGCAACAAAAAAAGCGAGTTAATGGAATTGGCCAAACATCCCAATGTTGCAGGACTCTCCTGAGCAAAACTCGCGATCCTGAAGTGAGACTTTTTTGGGTAAATAATTGGCATTATATATATTGAATGTCTTTGTATTGTTGAATTGAAATGTGGAACTGAATAACTGGGAATTGACTTTTTTATTATACAAACTGTTGCTTATTGATCTTTGGTGAACCAACATTTGGCTCGAAATGATCTGATTTAAAACTTTAAAGCAACTATTATGTTATTTTATGTTCTTTTTTCACTTCAAGCTAGCTATATATTTTTTTCTGACCACACCTGTAATTTTAAACGTGAAGGTTCCCGTGTCCTGACCTGCTCGGGTAAACCCCCACCAGCACAGCAGTGAATTGGTGCTCTGATGTTCACTGCATTGAATATAATTTCCGAACATTGTATCCAGGTAAGCATGGCTCACACATCATAGGATCTTTTATGCCAGTATCAAAGTATGAAAAACAAGAATATATTTTACCCTTTCTGGTAATAAAACAGCAGGTGTTAAGATGTTCAAACATCTATTACAAACCTTTTGCAATAAATCAAGTTGCTGCATTAACCGCACATACTTGTGGTGAACATGCAAACAAACATGCTCTGATAATATATGGCATTGTCTTTGAAACTGATTGGCCTACACCAGAGACAGCCTTCTTTATGGCCCAGTCTCACCAGTGTCAGACCAGAGAACACCAAAAGGCGAACAGTCCGAAGCCGGTGTGCTGTAGTAGTAACGAATTGGCATGTTTCGTTTAGTGGCAAACCTTTCTGATCATCTGTGTTGCGTGGTGGCGGGTTTAACGACCCATTTAAATTTGCGCGATCTAACCCAAAACACGTCCATTATGCGCCTGTGCTGTGCACGCTTTTCGGCAGGCGGCCGTCTGCTCGTGTGGTTTCTCTTTGTGCGCCCTTTTTTGGAACGCATCTACTACCGCACCACTAAGTGAGCGAAGCTTGCCTGTTCCAGATTTCACGACGTGCTCCCCCCGGAACGCCCCCTCCCCCTGTATTTTGAGGGTGCGTCTTGTAATCCGCCTTACTTTAGAGAGGAACTTATAATCTTGAGAATATGGTCGATGTCTTATGTAATTTCGAGGAAACCGGTAGTGGACTTTGACTACTTTCGATCAAATGTATTGTCATCCTCGGTTTACCGGGGGTGGGGATTGCATTTGTTGAAGCTGAGATGGTGTTGCGCTTAGGAGTGCGTAAATGAAAGCGACGTTTATTATTGTGTCGAGGAAGGGGCACTTTAAAGCAATTTTGACTGACCATGAATCGGACTTTTGGAGCTTAAAATTTGGCTTCCGATGTTCATGCCTATAAGCAGAATCACTCGAATATATTCGTCCACAAAAATTCTAGTTTCTATCCGTTGTCGCGAATAATTTCGAATCCACGTAAACTATAACATCATGATCATTTAGATCGTTCACGCATTCGATTACAATATTTCTCTATGCAGTGCTTAATTTCAACCAACACATTTCATAATAGAGTTTTTTCAGGGGGGGAGGGTTAGATCGCGTAAATATATAAATGTGTCGTTAAAACTCGCCACCACCCGACACAGCCAACTAGTAAGAGTTGCCACGTAAACAGAACGTGCCATTTCGTTACTAGTACAGCACACCGGTGTGTTGGAGAGCAAATCCACAACTTTTACAATCTCAGATTTCTCGATATTTTCTGGAACGCTGCTAGCTGGGCTGGTTTTTGCCGTCGCAATTAAAGTAAGGCACGATTACGCCTGTGCTGTACTAGTAACGAATTGGCACGTTCTGTTTACTTGACCCAACCTTACTATACTCTTTGGTTCTTTCGATAAAGCCACGTATTTTATTTTATCTCTACCTCCGTGACTTTACTGAAAGAACCAAAGAGTATGGATTCCTGCAGTCACGAAAGCTTCAAATCAAGACTGACCTTACTAATTGGCTGTGTCGGGTGGTGGGGGGTTTAACGACACGTTTATATTTATGTGATGCAACCCAAAAAAAACTGTATTATTATACCTACTATAATCACCCAGGAATATCCGTAATGCTCGTGACGTCACTCCACATCGACCAGCCCCCCTCATTAATATTAATGAGCAGGTGACGTCCTCCAAATGGACATCCCCCCCCCCTCATTAATAATAATTAGCGGCTGACGTCACTCCACATGGGGGGTGAGGCGCCTCCTCCCCCCTCCTCGGCGTCAACTCACAACCCTCACTACAAAGACGGAACCCTCACGTCACGCGATCTCCGTAACGCTGTTGAGACATCAAAGTAAAAAGGATGTTGTGATGAACAAGGGATTATAACCTTAAAATTAAATAGGTCTGTGTCACCGCGGCTTTACAAATTGCACACGCATTAAGGCAATGAATATATCACGTCGCGGTCTGCTTTTCGCTTGCAAGTTTCAGATTTACTGCAATACACGAGTCCTTGGACGGGCAAAAGGCTCGTCGATGAAAGTGGTCGCGAAAACCCCTTTCGTGTTAAACTGGCCCAGTTTCTCTGTGCCAACAGAACAAGGCAATGCTGTCGGCGGCCCCGAGCCAGCCAGCAAGGAATGCTTGGCACGATGCTGCAGTTCC